ATGACGAATTAAATCAGTCGGTGCAAGTCGACGCTGTGGATAAATCGGGCCATACTCCGCTGCGATGTGCCCTGGCGAAACTATGGCCGGATACCGTCGATTTTCTGCTGGGTCGTGGCGCCAAGGTGTCAAGCTTCATATTTCCCACCGAGGATCACTTCGACAAGTGCTTAGTGTATGAAAACGAATATCATGAGGATAAGTTGGAAATTGCGTCTAGTATACTAGCCGTGGTCGATAGTCTCGAAAAAAGAGGATATGAACTAGGCCGAAGAGATGCCTTGATGGTCATGAAATTATTTGATAAGAATCAAGTGTTCGACGAGTCGATGACAAATCTTGAAGATCATTGGTATGCCGACGAAGACTTTGCGGTAGAAGCAAACAAAATAATGATCAGTCCGAGTCTGTCACTTTTCGATCTGATCCATCACCGACCCGAAGAGACGACGAAACTACTCACTTATTTGGACTATAACAGGTTTGTGAACTCGTCCGAATGGGAAGATCTACCAGAAGAATCTCGCGAGCCATGTTCTGCGTATCTGTGCGAGATAATGTCGCGGGGATTTCTCCGTCGATGGACATTAGACTTTTTTTTGACATTGACGAACTACCAGCTGCCGATTCTTTGCTGTGATATGATCATAAAGAATCTAGAGAACAAAGATTTGTTAGCCATTTGCTTGGCAGCCTCAGATCAAGTGTGCGATGAATAAATGAAAGCACAGTTATATTTTTCTCAATTTTTGATGTTATTAAATGTAGTTGTTTTCTGATTTGTTAAAAGAATGAATCAATAAATTAATTAATTAAAAGTCTCTACATTTTTCTTTTAACTCCCCATCGTCTAATTAACAATATATTGTCTTCGTGTGAGTGTGTGAGATGCCTATTAAAAGATCAGCAAAAAAATGTATTCAGATTAGCATAGATGTTTCATTTTGAAAAATGAGACTTCCAAAAAATTATGAATGCTCAATTTTTCGATTATTCTTCACGTATTTTCATTTCTTAATTATCTCTGAAAGGTGCATCATCTGCCAATTACCCTGTTTTTTCTCATGTGACATTAATATCGCATTATTCCTCGTAGACATCGCCAGCAAGACAGTTCGAAAGGCCCACAAACTGAAGAAATTAATGCCAAAGACTGTGGCGATTGACACAGCTGCGAAAGGAAGAATACAATGCACACAAGGACCGGCGTGTGGTACTTGATTTGATGTTTGTATTATACTTAAACTGAGAATAACGCCGAAGTCGAGACATAAAACTTCAATTTACAAACAATGCGTCGTTCACTGTAATTATGCGTAGTTTCTTCACGGTATTAATTTGCGGAAATATGTTTCATAATGTTCAATTTTACCGTGGCTAAAAGTAATGCACCTCATTTCATCGAACAAAGTCCATAAGCTTATTAAAAAATTAACGTACATGGCTGAGAAAATTAAACACGTTATTTCGATAGAAATTCGCCTCAGTTTTTCGGTCAGAGTCACCTCAGAAAACCGTTAGAGTCGATTCTCTCAAAAACTTCCTTTCCAAGATTTTTCATAATAATTTCAAGAGTAGGAAATTCATAAACACTTTCTTTGTATGTGCTTTTAAGATTTTTGCGAGATTTAAAGCGAGAAAAAAAAAACTTTGGTTTTTGCATGTTCGGACGCATAACAGCATCTTAAAGCATAATAAAATCAGACGTCGGCCAACGCGTTCCCAACTGTCGCTTCTCGCTTCGTTCTGTGTTGCGCGAATCGTTTGCGTCATTGCTTGAGCGAGCGATGCGTGTCTCAACACGTTCGGAAGAACTAGTGGCGCGCTGTTGCGCCCGCGTGTCGAGTGACCCGCAGCAGCTCAGTACACGTTACGACGCCGCAGCGTAAACAACGAACGTTAAAGATCGCATCGATTTCAGTTTACACAGCATAGTGATAGTGATTTAATACTCGTGCAAAAAAACAATTTTAAAAAATATTCTTGAATTATAAACGATCGAGTGTTGTGTATGAGTGAGCAGAAACATGTCCTCGTTCGACGAAGATTCTGATATATCTGATGATTATTGCAGTGACGATAATTTCTTCTTTGATGAAAAAATGTGTCGAAAAACATCAGAAAGATTGAATATGTTAGGAGAAAAGGAGATAAATTGGAAGGTCAAAAAAGAACGACGAGACTTTTTTCGTCAACTATTACCCATAATCAGAAATTGGAAGGGCCCGCTTCCTAATCTCCGCGACATTTTTGGGCGCAAGAAAATTGATCAGCTTCTAATAGAGTATGTGAGATTGAACAAATTTTCTAAGGGCACTCCACTCATTGAATTTATAATCAACAGCGGCTACGAGGACAAGCCCGAACTAGACAAAAACGGCAAGCCACTTTTACGTCGTACCACTGCAGTGCACTGGGCAGCTAGACAACATTTCCCCCACAGTAATATTTTCCGTGCGCTTTTTAAAATATACCACAGGCTCGACGTGAATTATATCGATGGGTTTGGACGGACACACTTTGATGTGGCCTGTCAGTATGGATGTGACGACGTCGTTGCGAAATTCCTTGAGCTCGGACAGGATCCTAATTGTCAAATAAAACAATCTAAAAATGCATTTACTCATCCACTACACTTGGCACTGAAAAATAATAGAAAGAAGGTAGTCGAATTGCTGCTGAAAAGTGGATCAGATCCGAATTTAGCCGATGAGAATGGCTCGACTCCACTGCACATTATTTGCAGTACAGGCAACGATGATGATTTGCTAAAAGTATTTTTTAAAATCTGCGACGAAAAACATCAGCTGGTGCAAATTGACGCCCAGGACAAGTTGGGTCAGTCACCGCTGCACTTTGCTCTGCGCTACGGTAACGAGAAGGTGACCGAAATGCTGCTCAGAAGAGGTGCCAAGCAGAATTTAGTTGACGAGAATGGATCGACTCCACTGCACATCATTTGCGAAAAAAAAAGAAAGAAGAAAATGAATGATGGATTGGCGGAACTATTCTTTAAGATTAACGACTACAAAAATCAGCTGGTGCAGGTCAACGTTCGGGACAAGAAGGGTCGAACACCATTGCACTGGGCTCTGCATCGTGGCTTTCAGTTCGTTGTCGAATTGCTTTTGAAAAGAGGTGCCGATTCGAATGTGGTCGACGAAGATGGAGCGACTCCTTTGCACCTGATTTGCGATAGAGATAAAGACGATAATTTGTTGAAACTATTCTTCAAGATCAATGAAGAAATCAATCAGTCGGTGCGGGTAAACGTCGTAGACGAGAAGGGCCGGACACCGCTACACTTGGCTCTGGGCCGTGGCCACAAAAATATGGCCGAATCGCTGTTGAGACAAGGTGCTGATTGGAACGTTGCCTGTGATGGTGGATATACACCTCTGCACATTATTTGCGAGAGAAATAAGGATGATAACTTGTATGAATTCTTCTTTAAGATCAATGAAGAACTCAATCAGTCGGTGCAGATAAACGTCGTTGACAAGAAGGGCCAGACGCCGCTACACGTGGCTCTGTACCGCAAACACGAGAACATAGCCGAATCATTGTTGAGACGAGGTGCTGATCCGAACGTAGCCTGTGTTGGTGGACATACACCTCTGCACATTATTATTAGGCGTTGCTTGCATGATTTTGTGGAGACATTCTTTAAAATCAATGACGAATTAAATCAGTCGGTGCAGATAAACGTCGTTGACAAGAAGGGCCAGACGCCGCTACACGTGGCTCTGTACCGCAAACACGAGAACATAGCCGAATCATTGTTGAGACGAGGTGCTGATCCGAACGTAGCCTGTGTTGGTGGATATACACCTCTGCACATTATTATTAGGCGTTGCTTGCATGATTTTGTGGAGACATTCTTTAAAATCAATGACGAATTAAATCAGTCGGTGCAAGTCGACGCTGTGGATAAATCGGGCCATACTCCGCTGCGATGTGCCCTGGCGAAACTATGGCCGGATACCGTCGATTTTCTGCTGGGTCGTGGCGCCAAGGTGTCAAGCTTCATATTTCCCACCGAGGATCACTTCGACAAGTGCTTAGTGTATGAAAACGAATATCATGAGGATAAGTTGGAAATTGCGTCTAGTATACTAGCCGTGGTCGATAGTCTCGAAAAAAGAGGATATGAACTAGGCCGAAGAGATGCCTTGATGGTCATGAAATTATTTGATAAGAATCAAGTGTTCGACGAGTCGATGACAAATCTTCAAGATCATTGGTATGCCGACGAAGACTTTGCGGTAGAAGCAAACAAAATAATGATCAGTCCGAGTCTGTCACTTTTCGACCTGATCCATCACCGACCAGAAGAGACAACGAAACTACTCACTTATTTGGACTATAACAGGTTCGTGAACTCGTCCGAATGGGAAGATCTACCAGAAGAATCTCGCGAGCCATGTCTTGCGTATCTATGCGAGATAATGTCGCGGGGGTTTTTCCGTCGATGGGCATTGGAATTTTTTTTGATATTGACGAAGTACCGCCTGCCGATTCTTTGTTGTGATGTGATTATAAAGAGTCTGGAGAACTCCGATTTGTTAGCCATTTGCTTGTCAGCTTCAGGTCAAGTTTGCGATGGATGAGTTAAACCAAAAGCAAGCATAATTTTAGTATAAATCATTTTCTAATGTTACTAAATGTAGTTATTCTTCATTTTGTTCAAAATATTGAACAATAAATAAATTTATAATTAAAAGTCTTTTAATTTTTCTTTAAAAACTTCCTTTCCACTTTCAATTGTCGAACCAACAAACATGAAAGTACGCGAGATGGTTTGCCGAAGCATAGCAAAATAATTTGATTAGCCTGAATATGTTTCATTGATAAAAGTGGGTGTATTAAAAATAAAATCATGAATGCTCAATTTCTCGATAATTTTTTACGTAAAGTTAAATTAATATCGCACTATCCAAAACTATTCATTTCACTGAACAATCGATCCTCCATATAATTATTCCAAAAATATAAATTACCGAGCGAGTAAGCGAGACAGACGGCGGCCTGCTGGAGCGAGTAGACGGGCCCGTAGGAGGCGGTGGGACGACGATCGACAAGGGCGGCGAGCAGCGGCACGAGGGCCGCGTCCGCCACGCCGATGCCGAGGCCGAGGCCGAGATGCGGCACCGCGAGCTCGGCCATGCTGCGGGCCCGGGGTATGCCCAGGGCGCTCAGGCCCACCACGGCCATGGCCAGTACGGCGGTGCGGCAGCGCCCGTGGCGGAAGGCCCACAGACCGAAGAAGTTCGTGCCCAGCAGGTAGCCCAGACTGTCGGGTATGAAGACCGTGCCGAGTTGCCATTTCTGTGGAAGGATATAGTGTAGAGGGAATGCGCACCGCCCGCGGACGAGCGCGAGTTTCGTGATTTTGAGTGATTGTATTTTACAATTTATAACGACGTATCGAATTCTTTAAAACTCATTTTTTTCTATGAATGATACATTAATCATCTTGAAATAACAATATCCTCAGAAGATTGACACAATTATTTTTGTGATCTTCGTTTTAAAAAATAAACGTTACAAGAATGGCTTTCGTAAACGTTATGAGAACCAAACGATAACAATAAATCCAAGTCCTCAAGTCCCCAAGTGTAATTTTGTCAATTATTTGAACGTAATTACGAAGTTTCAAGATGACTGATTGATTGTTGATTTTTAAAAATGAGGAAAAAATAATTCGATGCTGAGTATAGACCGGGTGAACAGAATTTTTAAACTTTGCATGATGGATCTTCGAACGTATGCGCGTAGTATTTTTAAGAAAACGCATTTCAAAACGTTCATTTTTATCTTTGCGATATACCATTGATATTTCTTTGAATGTGAAAAATTTCATTCAAATTTTGATTCATCGACAAATTTTTCAATCTAAATCACTCTGGTGCATATGCTCAATAATAATAATGACCTAATGACCAAAAAATTACAATAAGTTATCAAGCACTTGGAATACGATAATACCACTTTGGGTCTCCACCGGTAGATGGCGAGTACCCTCAAATCTTTAAATCTACAAGTGGTAAAGTAAAAATAACTGTATAAAAACTCGGTTTTGACTCAAACGAATATATCTTCGTCGAATATCCCCTAAATTTCCGATACTATATTTATACGTACACGCGAAGGAAAAAAGTAAGAAAAGAAATGGACCTTCGGTTTGATGTGACTCCTCAGCCAGATGGGCAGACAGGGCTCGAGTATGGCCATGGGCGTGGTCGAGATCCAGATGGCGCCGGCAATTATCAGGATCCTCGGGTCCAGCAGCAGACGCATCCAGTTGGCGTCGCTCTCGGCTTTCTGCGCGTATACAAAAAAAACGATCGGATCGTGTATAGCGGAGCTGCCACGAGCTATTGTATACGTCGCGAGGTCGACCTTACCTGCTCGACGGCGTCGAATTCCACCGCGTAGATCTGAACCACTGAAAAATTTTTTTCATTAAAAAAAAAACGATCGGTGGCACGATGTTATACACCGAGAAAAAAATTCATCGATTCAATGAAATCAAATTTAATATTTTATTTACTATTAATTTAATCAAGTGATTGATTGAAGCAATGAAACTTTAGTGAAAAACAATTAAATATTTTGTTGGATGAAATAAAAAAGGATTATACCAATGAAATTATTTCATAGATTGAATTTTTTTTCTCAGCGTACGATCGCGCGTGTACATGATAATATTTATATAATATGTACCGATGAGAGCGGCGACGAGGGCGGCCACGAGCAGAAAGGGCGCCCGTTTGCCGCCGAGATCGTAGAGCACCGAGCCCATGGGATAGCCCAGCAGCACGCCCAGCGCGACGCTGCCCAGCACGTAGCCCATGACGCGCGAGCGCTGATCCTCCTCGGGGTAGCGCGAGGCGACGAGCGACATGCCCGAGACGCCGATGCAGGCCGACGACAGGCCCTGCACGCTCCTGGCCAAGAACAGCACCGCGTAGGTGCGGCCGAAGGCGAAAACTGAGGATCGTTCATGATGATAATATAATGATTAGGGCTGAGCGAGTATCCGATTTTTCGAGTAATCGATTTTTTTCGAGTACTCGCAATGTATTTAAATTATAAGTAAATAAATGGGGAATCAACAGTCTCTAGACCCCTCTCTTTGTGTGTATATGCTTATAAGTGTGATATTCGCAACGGCTAGAATTGGAAGAAGAAAATAATTTAATAGTACCACACCTCATCACACTTATAAGCACGTACACACAAAAGGAGGGGTCTATAGACTGTTGATTCATTATTTATTTACTTAAAACTTAAATATATTGCGAGTACTCGAAAAAAATCGATTACTCGAAAAAGCTCGAGTACTCGACAAAAACGCAAGTACCCGAAAAAACTCGAGTACTAAAAAAATCGAGTACTCGACTCGAACTCGAGGAAAAAACTCGAACTCGACGAGTCGAGTTTTTTCGAATACTAGCACAGCCCTAATAATGATATAATGATGAGTTGGAGGAAGGCGAGGTTGAAATTTAATTTTGACGTCGCGAGCCCTTTGAGAGCGATTAATTGGATTTTGAGCTCTTTTTCATGCATATCCACCGTAAATTTGATCCGTCACAAAAAAGGCTGTATTCATTAATAAAGGGGAGAAAAGCAAAAGAAAAATTTCCGACGCGTTTCTTACGCAGAGCGACCAGTAGTAGGCCGACGTTGCCGAGCAGCAGAGGCCTGGCGTAGCCCAGGCGGCCGGTCAGGCTGCCCACCGCCGGATTCAGCACGAGCTGCACCAGCGCCTTGGAGCTGAGCAGCAGACCGACTCGGCCGTTCTCGTCCACGACTAAATCGCTGCTGCTGCTGCTGCTGCCGTTTGTTACTGTTGCTGCTGCGGTGGTTGTAACGACGACGATACCTGCGTTACTGTTGTTGCCTCGAGGTGGAGTAGAAGTAATCGTTTCCGCTGCCGATTCCGCTGCCTCGAGGCCGTAAAGATAGTCCGGTACGATCGGCACTGGAGACGAACGAAGGCGAGAAAGAAAGAGAGAAGATATAACTGCTTATGAAAAGGTATATTATGTAGCTCGCGAAGAGTTTGGTTCACGATATGGGGCATTGATCAAAAATCTTCAATCGTGAGATATTTCGCATCGAATTTTGTTTCGTTTTGTACGATTAAAAAACTTCTAAATTGTTGATAAATAAAAATTACCATCAGAGAAAAACACGCTCGATACATGTATGTGATTTTACCGAGACGTCAAAAATTTCGTCCTCGTCGAGCAAAACATCAAATGGTACCTAAGTTGCCACTAGATGGCGTATCCCCGAATTCTCAAAAATCACAAGAGAAAAGGCAAAGTTCTAAGATTTATTCAGAGTGGTGTAAGGAGTAGCTATTTATATTTTCCAACGTATGCAGCGAACAAGACTGCATTGATTGCGACCCAAAACAGTTGCTTATAAAAAAATTAATTTATAGAAAATTACAAATATAATTCGGCTATCGTTGAAACTATACACGATTAGACATTTTTCAAATAATAAAGGAATGTCAATTCACGCGTTAGCGAGTAATTTTAAACCGAGGGATCGTCTCGTTATTGCGGTGGCTCGAAACTGAAACGCGACGAGTCAGATCTTATACGCGAGGACGATCAAACACAAAAAATTGAATAAATGCAACATAAAAATACATCGAGGCAAATTCGGAAGACACTACTGCTACATCATGGCTTACATCAAAAATTTTTAAAAATTTCCAAGCCGAACAGCGATCCCCGCTACTTCGAATCACATGATTTCCACCGTATATGCATCGCTTGGAGTGCCTTTGATCGCAGCTATCGTGTGCGGACGAATGGAATTTAATTGCGCGCCTGTATCATACGCTGCATCGTATATTACGATGATATATATATATATAACTCACCCACTACGGTCAGGAGTATGTTATCGAGCAGCAGACTGAAGTAGACCGTCGAAACGAGGGAAAATTGCCCGGCCGGACACTTGGCCCACATTTTGCGAGCGCGGCCTAATAGCACCGCGTTGCACTCTTTGCGCTCCCCTTATATCACATATCTCTGCTATATCTATGCAGCGGATTTTTTAACAGTCATATATGTATATAGGCACCATGCACACCTTCGGAGGAGAAACGCAGGATCGCGACAAACTCGAGAAAAGCCATGGGATATTCCTTTTATACCGTTGCTACCGATGTACACACGACACAGACACACACACACACTCACACACACGCATGCGTGCGTCATTTCACGAGTCCGTGCACTTTTCGATTTCGCGAGCTGCGAGAGACACCGAGAGAGAGAGAGAGAGAGATAGGTAGTGAGAAAATCGACTCTTATCTCTATATACAGTGGATCCGCGACGAACTGGAAGTAAACGAGCTCTCGCTGCTTGCGGGCGATCCTCGTGCGCGCGGTACGTACGTATAGAAGGCGTGTCGGCGCGTGTTTATAGATATTTTATATGCCTCGTGGATATTTTCTCGGCTCTTGATAAAGCATAATACGCGAATTTACCGATCTCGAGGTTAAAGCTCTCCATTATTCACGAGCGTGCGAGAATTTTTCGTCCATCGGCTATATTACCGAGAGCTCTCCCCCAGGAGGATATCGGGAAAAGCCCGAGCCTCGATCCATTATAGCTCGAGCTTCGTTAGATCTTGCGCCACCTGCGACGCTGATCGATATTCTTCGCGATTCGAAAGCTATAGCAGCGCATCCGTATATGCGCGCACGTGCGTGTGGATACCTTTAATCCTTGCGTTAAAACGTAACGGTTACCCTTATGAGCGCGTATAAAAAATATAGAAATAAAAAAAGAAGAAGTGATATTTACGGCGCGCGATATAATACTTGTATATAACTTACGCGTGCGTATGTGCTGCCGTCGTTACAAAACATTTCGCGAGGGCGAGTGCAAAAATTTTTTTAATTAAAAATCCGCGAGCTGCTGCTGCGCCACCACACACACACACTCGCAAGGAATTGCCACACACAAGCACACAGCCCATGACTTTAACTACCCTCTTTCTTATGCTCGGGCGTGCAATACGGCACGCCATATATACGTCATACAACACACTGAGTGCTATATAACCGCGGAAGCTCGAGAGAGAGAGAGTTCGAGCCGCGGCGGCTGTGGCTCTTAAAAAAGGGCTTTAATTAAAAAACAGTTTTTCATGGCCCTTTTCGCTGCTGCTGCTGTTGCTACGGCATTTGAGGTGTAAAAAAGTACGCACTACGCAACGTGTATAAGGATATAGGGCTGGGGTGTGGGTAGAGAAAGTTTAGCCATTTGCGAGTGATTTAATAAAATGCTCATAAGTTTTCTTTTATTTTCTTCTTCCTCCTTCGTCTCGCTACACACGATCTCTCTTTCTCTCCGCAGCACCGCAGGATATATATACATATATATATCGTTGGCTACGGCGAGAGGACGAGAGAGAAGCTTATTATTTTATACAAGGCGCTTGTGATTCACAATTCGTTCGTTTCGTTTCGATTAGCGCGGATTACGGTATACACAACAGCTGCTATTACTTATCTACGCGTTATATAAGATTATTATTTACATCGTTTTGACAACAAATTTTGGTAACTTAATATTATGTTTTTGTTTTTTTTCGTCATTTTTGCTTCGTTTTGTTTTGGTTTTTGCCACTTTGGAAAGAGCGCAAAGTCTTTGATGTACGTATACAAAAGCAATGTTTCGATGGTGTGAGCTTGCGGAGCTTGCAGAGCTTTCGAACGGCAACCTCTTAAAAGTGTACTCGTATCTATACGTATATCATATCGATCGTCGCGCAAGTTTGTATATTGTCTATATGTATGATGAAGGGCGAAATATAGAGAGAGAGGAAACAATCGACGACGAGGCGCGCACACGTTGGAAATCGAGTTTGGCAGTGATGCGATATAAATATTTTCTCTGCTTTTAAAATATTATATACGATGTGTCACTCTATATAACGTTTTTATAAAATTACGCGCTATATATTTATTATGAATTTGATGCACGGCACACGTCATATCAAAAATATATACCGAACGAAAAAAGACAAGAGAAAAGAAAAAAAAAACGATTGCCCGGCGCTCTTTTTGTATCCCTGGTAAAATTGTTTTGGAAAATCACTCGGTCCCCCCCGCGCGTTACATCGTAAACTATTACCGTCCGACGACCTTTATTATTTAGGAGCGATGCAATGTATAAATGAAATTACTCGGTATGTACTTCGGTACTCGGGAAAATTTGTCAAAGCGTATCGCAAACACGCGCATGGACGCGCGACAGTTGCGTATTGTAAAAGGAATTTTCGGGGCACGGAGAACAAAGTTGTTTCGACGCATGCAACAAAAAGTATTGGAAAAAAGTTTTGGTTTGAAAAATACAGCTCGTCTCTGCGTTACGGGATTCCTATCTGTAGTTACGTATTACATCGAACAATTGTCATACGCTTAAATGTGTATAAATGATTGTAAATTCAATAATTCGCTTAAAATCTATCTACATAATTAATATACGTATACAACAGTAGCATCGATCGATTAACAAAAAATTAAATCTTCATCAGAATCTCGTGACCCTGGCCGATCTCGGGCTCTGCGACTCGTGCTCCTCCTCGATCGTGTCGTCCCTCAGCTGGGCCAGCGCCGAGCCAGGCCTCGGGCTCGGCGTGCGCCTCGCCTGGTACGGCTCGTTAAAGATACTGCGATGCTCCTTGACGAACACCTCGGGCTCGATCGGCTGCCGTCGAGTCGTAGACGACGGGTCTAGGGCTGCCGCTCCTGCTCCCGCTGCCGCCGAATTTTTGCTGACTTTTTTCCGCAGCAGCGAGCGGGGAAGGGCGTAGCGAGCCTCCGACAGCACCGAGCCGGCCTTCGAAAACGGCCCGCCTTTCTTCGTACTCGCGGCTGTTGCGGCTCGAGCTGCGGCTTGTTGCTGTTGCGGCGCCTCTGGCTGGATACGGCTGACCTTGGCGAGACACACGCGATATAAAATACATCGGTTATAGATATTATTATAATAATTATAACAATAATGTTATTTCGTTTCGTTATGAAGGATTTAAATTTTAACGAACACGCGTAGTAAGCGTAAGCTTTTTCGCGTCTTGATGCCTGCGCTGCTTTTTGGATTATCCGCGATTAAAAATGCACAACCATCATCTCTGCGAGCTCGTGTCCAATTAGGCGCGGACCCTTCGCCCGGCTATACAGAAGTCAAGCCCGAAAAGATATATCGCGCGGCTAAAGCTCCGTGCGAAACAAGCACACGGCAGCAGCAGAGAAAAGCGCATTATCTCGATTCCAAGGGTGGTGGGCTAACAAGCGAAAAAAAAAGAAGACAGAAAGAAAGAAAGAAAAAAAAGTAATGGAGAGAAAAATTATTATTAAACTCACGGCTTTTTAACGTACTCGCGACTGCGTGGCACGGGTCTTATCGTTCGCGTATATGACTTATTACAGTTGCGCGCGGTCGTATCGGAGAGAGCTTTTTTTTTTTTTAATTCGTTCATAAAGGCGTCGCGCATTATCGCGCACGTAACGACACAAAGAAAATAGAATGAACGATGTAAAATGCAAATCGAGCGCGAAAATATAATGCGCGCGACGAAGAAAGTAGGTCTTTAGCGAGCTTTCGCCGCGAGGGCTGGTCACGAGGCTTGAATAATCCATCGAGAGAGATAGGAAAACCCGCAAAACCGCAGTCAATAATACTATCCTAAATAATTCACCGATCCGAGACGTGCGCGTGCGTGTCTTTTTCCGAAAAATCAGCTGTTACGTAACAATTGCAGCTCTCTCTTACTAGGAACTATACTCACGTCTGGCTCATCTACATAGAGCCTTGGCACGACGTAGGGCTGCGGCTGCTGTGCCGCAACATTGGCTGCGGTTGCGACGTCGAGCTCGCGCATTTCCGGCCGGAAGCCGTAATTGCTGTAACCGGGCGTGCGTCGGGGCTCGGGGCTGCGACCGCGCCGGAACGACAGTCTGCTCAGCATGCCACCACCACCTCCCCGATTTTTACCCGTGACCGACGTCGGTCCTGCTCCCGTTGTCGTAGTCGTGCCAGTCATCAGATGCGATGGTACAGCAGCTCCTAGTGCTGCTGCTGCTGCTGCTGACGTCGTTGGACGAGTCACCAGCTCGTTGCCACCGCCGTAATAATAGTTGCTGCCGGCTGCCAATGCCTGCTGCTGCTGAGCTGAGGGTGAGCCCGTGGCGCTAACGTACTCGTAAAACGGCTGACGACCGTTAATGCCCACGTCCAGATACGCTCCCTGGAAGAGATGAAGGAACGAGTGTCGATAGTTATTTTAACGCGTAAATAAATATAGCTATAATATGTAATTTTTACTATGCACGCGCTGATAGGATAATTAAAAAACTTTTTTTTTTTGAACTTAATGTCGTCTACGTTATTTGATAAATAGCTTGACCAATATGAAAAGTCAGAAGTTAAGAACGGATTACGTTTATGATCGCGCTTTTATTTAGCTGCTTGCTGAATTTTCGTAATGTTTAGAAGGATTTTTTTAGATGTGTGACAACTCGTATCACCTTTTTTTTCGTTACCATTACTCCAGTTAAAATTTTAAACGATACAGAAATACCGCAACTCAAAATCATTAACAACTTGAAAAAGTTAGCTTTGATATACATATCTGTTGGTATAGGAATAATATAACTTTGATAGCAATGACTTTGATTTCTGGGTATAATTCAAAAAGCTCTCCGAAGCTTTTTTGTTCAACTATTGGATGAATAATAAAAAGATCAATTTATTAATTTATTTTGTTTTTAATTTTTGTGTGTGAGTGTTTTTTTTATTTCAATGTTATTCACAAAAAATTATAAATAAGTTTCATACTTTGCAGCTGCTTACTAATTTCAAAAATCAGCTTTCAAATCTCACGACTCTACCCGAACTTCATCACTCTGCTCTTCGAGCATCGATTCCGCAGCGCCGAAACGCGCCTGCCACTTTTGGAAAATTCATCAACGCGTCACACTTCGACACCGACCCCGAATGAATTATTATCCCGTAAAAGTGTATAATAACAACGCGCGTCGACGCCTGAGCTTTCAATTTTCCCTCCGCGATTCTTTTGTTTTCGTATACAAACACGCGATATTCGCGTGTCCCGCATATTCGCGCCCCCTCCGTTTACACACGCGATCGATTTATCAATATTGACGCTCGAGCCCTGCCACCGCCGCGCGTGAAATTGTAAATGAGCTTTTTCACTCATAATTTACCTGTCTCGCTGCCAGGGGCGCGTTGACGAATCTCGGATCGTCCATGAGCAGATGATCGGGCGGCAGCGGCCCCGCGAATCTGCTGGCGGCCATCGCCGAGGCCGCCGCTGCGTGCACGTACGACTTGTCCCGGACGTAGTGCGAGCACATGAAGTACGTCCTGGGCACCAACACGCCGCAGATGATCAGACAGGCCGTGGCCACGGTGCCCGAGCAGACGATGGCGTCGCGCTTATCCTGGCCCATGAGCAGGAAACAGGTGATCCAGACGGCCCAGCAGACCAGCAGGCCGATGCCGGTGGCGAAGAAGCAAGTGCCCTCGCGATAATTGCGCTGCACGTGAGAGACGAAGAAGCAGCTGGCGAACAGCGAGCAGAGCAGAAATATGTCGTAACCTGCGGTGAAAGGTATGCGGGTGAATTCGAGCGTTGACAATTAAAGCGAGCGAGTTATTTGAGGAGCCTTTGACAGAGCTTGATCCGCAATTAGTCCTTTGAGAGTAGACTATTTATTAGACAAATAGAGAGTTTGATTAAGCCTCCTGGCAAAGGGGCCGCCAAGAGTCGTCGCGTCTTCATTAACTCGCGTCGATCGAGCGTTAAAATTAAGTTCCTTACCGAGCAGCGCTATATAAACGGGACTCCTGGCGACTCGTGCCGAGTCGGCGTCGCTCAGTGCGAAGTACATCGTGGCTATGGCCAGCTCCACGCCGGCCATGAACAGCAGCATGAGGCACTGCAGATAACCGTTGATGTGCTGGGTCGAGAACACGCCCTTGCTGGAGAAGGCGAGAAAGAGGGCCCGGGTGAGCATGACGGAGAAGGCGAGGCCGAAGCCGAGGCCCGAGACGAGGATCTTGCGCGAGTTGAGATGCTCGGCGCCCATGGCCCTGTCCTCGAGGCAGAACGGCAGGGCGCTCTGGAGCATCAGAAGAGTGGCGCCGATCAGCAGACAGGTGAGCAGAGGATTGCCGTCGAGGATGTCCTCGACGAAGTAGCGATAGACGACGAAGGCCAGGATGGCGCAGCAGGCGAAGGTGGCGCACGAGCTGATGGTCAGCAGGATGGGCACCCAGACTTGGGGCTTGAGGACTCGATGGTGGTTATCCTCGTCGTCCTCTTCGTGCTGATCGTGCTGATCGGCTTCCAATTCGAGGAGCTTGAAATTGGCGCAGGACTGCTGGCAGCGACGGGTGTAGTTGCGCACGCAGAGCCGGGCGAGTCGGGGCTGCTCCTTCTCGGCGACGACCCGGTAACGGGCGCTGGTCGAGTCGATCTGGTAGGCGGTCGTTTCGCTGAGAGAGCCGTCGATCTTGCGCGACACCACGTATCTGCGAATAATAATAATAAATGGTAATGATATTTTAAAAGGGTTGAATCACGTCACGACGATGCCGTGTTGTATAGTACAGTGTGTTATACACAGTCGACGGGCCAAAGTTATATACGTGTTTCGCGTAACCGCGTAAGCAAAGTTGCAGTGTACACATAGAGAGAGAGAGTTGCGAAAGCTTTTGAAAGTTCGGATTTATCGATCGGATATCGGCAAAGTGATTTATGTACTACGCTGACTAAAATTTATATATACCTACAGAGCTCGCGTAATACAATAATAACAACGTTACGCGTACATAGCTATATAAATGTTTACCCACCTAGTCGAGTGCGACTTGGCGGGCACCTTCAGAGTCTCGTAGACCTCGCTGTTGCTCATGGGCTTGCGCAGCTCCGGCTCGAATCTGGGCAGTACGCAGCTGGTACCGCCGCCGCCACCCTCGTTGGAGGTACCAGACGACGACGAGTAAGGGCAGCTCGTCTGCTGGAGCTCGCGCAGACCCTTGGCTATCTCGAGGATGGCCTTGCCGACGCTGAGCACGTGGGGCGAGCGCACGATCGTGCTCGCGGGTATGTCGTCGTCGGAGGAGGATGAGTCGCCGTTGTCGAGCTCGCCGTCCGGACCGAGATCCACCACGAAGTGCTCGGGTTTGATGAGGTACGAGCCCTCGGGTACGTAATCTGCGTAGCGCGAGAAAAATAACTTCAATAATATCGTGATCGTACGGGCCATCGCGATATATGTATAGGAGCTTTTTTTGCCGCTTGCGGATTTACGAGACGCCGTCTGTTGGCGATATCGAGAAGCTTAGTGATCGAATCGAATCGTTTTACGAGACAGAACGAGTTCCCGAATATTCATCTAAAAAATTTTACGGAAAACTACGTATATTTTTTGGAAAATTTACAAACATTTATGAAGACTTTTTAAATATATTATGCAAAAACATTGGCAAATGAAGCGAATGTTCATATAAGACAGAATAAGAATTTGAAATGTACATGCTAGTGTTGCTGCTGCAGTTTGCACTTTTCATGAGGGTTTTATTTAAGCAATTAAAATTTCATGATTAGTCGTTCTTTACATTCTATTGTTTAGAACACGCATTCATTGCAATTTATTTTTGTTACACTTCGTTTTTGTACTAAAAAAACTTGGTTTGTCAATGTTCAAAAGGTTTTTCCAAAAGCATGGATCGTGCAAATATGGTCAAAAATGAAGAAGCCCGAAAATGCATGGAAGTTTTAGGAGTTTCTCGATTTCCTTTGTTTGTATTTACTGCAAAATGCACATTTCTGTGGCCAGCCCAAAGTCCTCGTACACAATCCATAGGAAGATTTTGTATATTTGTATACTTATCAGTATTAGTGATTTGTTTAGTAAGTATTTTTATATGAAAATTATTCAACAGAATAATTAGATAAAATCTTATATATTTATAAAAGATTATATATTTAGATCGTGAAATTATTTGAGGAATGCAAAGAGACCAAAATTAACAGTAATAATATTATTGAATGTTCCTTGCAAATTTTGATGCTTTTAATAATATGCAACTGTTATATGTTTATGGTCTTAAAACAGGGTAATGTGAGTTAATTTTTTCCTTCAAGATAATACTCAATGCCCTTGTTTTATGCAGAGGATCATTCGCTAACTTTTGTTCCAGACGACTATGTGCTTGTCCACATTTTTCACACTCTTTCAAAGCGATGACTCCGCAGGGCAATATATTCTTGATAAAATAGTAAAAAAAGCTCTTTGGCTGGCAACTATTCAAACGGGTGATGTCTACGATTTTTTTTCAAAAGCATTAATAATAATAATCTCCATAAATTTCGTTTATAAATTTTACAGTTGGAATTTTTATATTGTGTGCAAATTACATAATATATCCGGTAGCTAGCCCAATCATAATGCCATGGATATTTTCAGATAATCAAACATACGAAAAAAATCTACCATTGAGGATCGAACTTTTTCTCAACGAAAATGAATACTTTTACGGTGTCTTCATCGTACATTGTTTTATCGTTAATTTCCACGCCATACTCACAGGAATTATCGTGTTTTATATATGTATGGGCGCAGGCGTTATTGTTGGCCAACTTCAATGTTTAGAGTATGTGAAAAATGTTTAGTTACTTTTTCAGTAATTTTGAGTAAATTACTTCTGAAGAATGAAATTTAGATACTGCTTGAATGAAATAGACACTGAATACAACCTCAAGATTTCTGCTTTCGACGAAATAAAAAGCAATTTGATTTGCGAAAAACTAAAGACGATAATTCGTCGACATCAAAATTGTATCAAGTGAGCTATTTATTTATAAGTTTAATGTAATAGGATCAATAATATTTTTTATATCAAAATTTGATGAAATAATTTACTCGAGGATTATAGGCTTTTTGAGATGTTGTATTCCTTGACAAGTCCTGCAGCATTTATAACAATGGTACTAGACGGACTTATTCTCGTTTTAGTCGGAACATGGGTAAGTATCCAAAGATTGCAACGGCAATATGAACAAACTCACTTCGATATGAATTTAGATGGTAATTTCACTGGCAAATTCGGACTTGATGGAAACGGGAAAAATGTTTTTCGCTTTTACTGGCAATCTAATTGTTTTAATTGTGATGTGTTTTCCAAGTCAATTAATGAGCAATGCCAGTTATGACTTTTTCCTTCACAGGTAATAATCAGCTTTACATAAAAGTAAAAAAATGTATTTATTTAGTTTAATAAGTATAAATTCTGCTTAGCAATTGTCTAAACTGGTATAATTATCCGATAAAAGCTAAGAAGCTGTTAATACTGATAATAGCAAAGTCAATGCAGCCCCTCGTATTTTCAGCTGGGCCGACGATTGAATTGAATTTTGACACTTGCAGTACCGTAAGATGCCTAATTTTTGCTTTATCAAAAACCTTAGTCAGTGAAGTCTATGCTATAGGTAATTAAAGGAACGATTTCGTATGCGGCAACATTCAGATCGATATATACTTCTTGGGAAAATCTATGAGCACATTTACTTAAAATTTTTAAATTACGAGTTTCTTTTTTATTGGTTTATTACAATTTTCGTGTGGTGGCGTCGTATATGTACAATAAAATACTTAAGATATTGGTTTGAAGCGCTATCACCCCCAAATAAGACCTCCAAAACCAGATATTTAAGCCTTTACGTGGGCAAAATGCCCACCTATGTGTATTTTTTGATAAAAAAACTTGAAACGATAATAATTAAAAAATTAATAATCTATAGGAACACAAAAAATGTAGTTAAAGAATTTTTTTTATTATCATTATATAGTTACGTGAACATCCCCTGAATCATCGTAAATTTTTATGTATAATTCGTATAAGTATAAAAAGTGAGAATTGTTTCTTGAGTGCTGAAGTATTGTCTGGTTTACCCTACATAAAATTTTCAGAAGAGAAAATTTCGATTTCCAGAAAAACGTCACTATTTCGTTTCTTTTGAAAACATTTTTTCACTTCAATTCTCTGGATAAATCTACGAAACAAATAGAAACAAAAGTCAAGGCTGAAGTTAAAAAAAAACTCCAGTTATTATTCTACATTCTAAAGTATTACGTTACTTTTTTAGAGATGTATGGAGTTTGCCTAGGAACGAAAAGCATCGATGCAAGAAAGAGAAGTCAAAATCAATAGTTATTAAAGTTTTTCATTTCATTTATGTGTGTACGTCTTTACGCAATTAAAATTTTCATAAGTCGCTTTTTACATATTCTATTGTTTACAAAATGACACGCATTCAAAATAACTTATTCACGTTTTATCACACAATCGTTATAAGCATTAAATTAGTATATTTCTCAACGGGTGCACATATGGTTTTTTAGCAAAACGAGGGATTATAGCACGAGCCGAAGGCGAGTGCTGTAACGAGTTTTGTTAAAAAACCATATCTGCACCAGTTTGAGATACTATTTTTTCCTACGAGAGCCTAAAATTAGCGGCAAAGTTGCGTATTTTAGGTTAGAGTGGGAAAAAATACTTTTCACAACTTTTCACGAAAAAACTCTTCACGCAAACATTTCAAAACATTTCAGCAACATGGATTATTCAAATATCGCGATTATAAATGAAGAGGCCCAAAAATGCATGGAAGTTTTAGGAGTTTCTCGATTTCCTTTGTTTGTATTTACTGTAAAATGTACATTTTTGTGGCCAGCCCAAAATCCTCGTACACAATCCATAGGAAGATTTTTTATATTTGCATACTTATCAGCATTAGTGATTTGTTCGGTAAGTATTTTAATATAGAAAATAAGGTAAAAAATATGATAAAATCATCCAATGTGAGACGAATATTACATAAATCTTTAAATAAGACCATTTAAGTATTATAAACGTATCAACTTATTTTTGATATTAGACTATATATTTAGGTCGTGAAATTATTAGAGGAATTTAAAGAATCCGATATTGACAAAAATGATGTAATTGAATGCAGCTTGCTAGTTTTGATGTTTGTAACAATATTCAATTATTACACCTTTCTGGTCTTGGAACAGAGTAATGTGAGTGAATTTTTCCCTTCCCTTCTTTTCGGAGATAATCATTTTCCAACTTTTATTTCAGATTAATATTTGCTTGTCAACAATTTTTAGACTGTTTCAAAGCAATGATTCATCAGGGCAATATATCATTGATAAAATAATTAAAAAAGCTCTCTGTGTTTCTAATATTCAGACGGGTAATAACTACGTTTTTCCGTAATCATTAATATTTTATAATATTTTAAAATCTCTCTATAAATTTCGTTCGTTACTTTACAGCTGTCATTTTGATGTCGTGGACAAGCTACGTAATATATCTAGTAATTAGTTTAATAATTTCGCAGTCGATATTTACAGATAATCAAGCTTACGAAAAAGTTTTACCTTTGAGGATCCAACTTTTTCTCAACGAAAATAAATACTTTTACTGCGTTTTCATCATACATTGTTTCATAGTGCATTCCCACATTTTATTTTGGGGAGCAATCATATACTTTCATTGTATAACCGCAGGCGTTATTATTGGGCAGCTTCAGAGTTTAAAGTATGTGAAAATTTTTGAATTATTTTTCCAGTAATTTTAATTAGTTTGTTTCATAAATTGTTGTATCATGCGCTGCTTCATATGAAATTTAGATATTCCTTGAAAGAAATAGACGACGAATACAACCTCAAGATTTCTGCGCGCGATGGAATTAAAAATAACTTGATTTGCGAAAAACTAAAGACGATAATTGGTCGTCATCAATATTGTATCAAGTGAGCTACCTATTTTTAAGACGAGTAGATTTTTTTACGAAGGTGGCTCTTGGTAGTTGTAAATAAATGCCTTATAGACAGTATGATTTAATATATCCTGAAAACAATTATAGAGTATACGAAGTTTAAAATTTTATAAAATATTGAAAAATATCATGTCTTTGTGTATCATGATACTAGGTACACATATTTGAGTTCAACAACAAAAAGATGAAGTCTGAATATTCTTCAGGTGGTTGGACTCGAATGTCTGAACCTAATATCATAAGACATGATATTTTCAAAATTATATAATCTTTTAAACTTCGTTAAACTCTATAATTTTTTTCAAAGACTATAAATGGATTATAGAGGGCTTCATTTGCAGGTACTGAAAGACACTTACGAAAAATTTGGTGAAGATCTGTGCCCTGGAGATAAAAGGCTCGCCTAATTTTAATAATAGTTTTTATGCCAAAACTTAATGAAATAATTTATTCGTGGATTTTAGGGTTTTTAAGATGTTATACTCTTTGACGAGTCCGGTAGTATTTATATCAATGGTACTAGACGGACTTGTTCTCGTGCTAATCGAAACGTGGGTAAGTATCCAAAAGCGACGAAGGCAATTTCAACAAACTCACTTCAATATGAATTTAGATGGTAATTTCACTGGCAAATTCGGACTTAATGGAAACTGGAAAAATGTTGTTTGCGTTTACTGGCAATCTAATTTCTATAATTGTGGTGTGTTTTCCAAGTCAATTAATGAGCAATGCCAGCTATGACTTTTTCCTTCAAAGGTAATAATCAGCTTTACATAAAAGTAAAAAAATGTATTTATTTAGTTTGATAAATATAAATTCTGCTTAGCAATTGCCTAAAATGGTATAATTATCCGATAAAAGCTAAGAAGCTGTTAATACTGATTATGGCGAAGTCAATGCAGCCCCTTGTATTGTCCGCTGGGCCGACGATTGAATTGAATTTTGACACTTGCAGTACCGTAAGCTGATTATTTTTTGCTTTATCAAAAACCTTAGTCAGTAAAGTCTATTTTATAGGTAATTAAAGGAACGTTTTCATATGCTACAACTTTCAGATCGATATATACTTCTTGGGAAAATCTTTGAGGACTACAATTACAATTTTTAAATTACGAGTTTTCTTTTTATTGGTTCATTTTAGTGGTTCAGTCGGCCGCAGTCATTATAAGTAGTTTAACATATGTACAATAAGGGTCTACTACTTAATATATTGGTTCGAAGCGCTATCACCCCCGAATAAGACCTCCAAAACCAGATGTTTTAGCCTTTACGTGGCCGAAATTCCCACCTATGTACCCTCCTTTTTTTATTAAAACAACTTGAAACGATAATATTTAAAGTATTAATCATCTATAGGAGTACAAAAAATGTAGTTGAGGAATTATTTTATTATCATTATACAGTATACGGCCAAAGTACGTGAACACCCCCTGAATAATCGCGAATTTTTATGTATAATGTGTATAAGTGAAAAAAGTGAACATTTTTCTTGAGTGGTAAAGTACTTACTGCCTGGTTTACCCTATATAAAATTTTCAGAAGAGAAAATTTCGATTTTCAGAAAAACGTCACTATTTCGTTTCTTGTGAAAACACTTTTTCACTCCAATTCTATCTGATTCTTCCAATTCAAGCTGAAGTTAAAAAAAGTACACGTTAATATTCTACATTTTAAAGTATTACGTTGCTTTTTTAGAGATGTATGGAGTTTGCCTAGGAACGAAACGCATCGATGCAAGAAAAAGAAGTCAAAATCAATAGTAATTAAAGTTTTTCATTTCATTCATGTGTGTACGTCTTTACGCAATTAAAATTTTCATGATGAGTCGCTTTTCACCTATTCTACCGTTTAGAATGTAATACGTATTTAAAACAACTTATTTTCGTTTCATCATACAATCGTTTGCATTAAAAAAACTTTTCACAAAAAAAACTCTTCACGCAAACATTTCAAAACATTTCAACAGCATGGATCATTCAAATACCGCGATTATAAATGAAGAGGCCCAAAAATGCATGGAAGTTTTAGGAGTGTCTCGATTTCCTTTCTTTGTATTTACTGCAAAATGCACATTTCTGTGGCCAGCCCAAAATCCTCGTACTCAAGTCATAGGAAGATTTTTTATATTTGCATACTTATCAGCATTAGTGATTTGTTCAGTAAGTATTTTTGAATGAAAATTATTCAACAGAATAATTAGATAAAATCATCCAATGTGAGATTTTTTATATTAGATTATATATTTAGGTCGTGAAATTATTTGAGGAATGTAAAGAGACGGAAATCAACAGTAATAATGTTATTGAATGTACCTTGCTAGTTTTAATGTTTGTTATAATATTCAACTACTACACCTTTATGGTTTTACAACAGAGTAATGTGAGTTAATTTTTCCCTTTCTTTCTTTTAAGGAGATAATCATTTGCCAACTTTTATTTCAGATCAATATGTGCTTATCAAAAATTTTTAGACTGTTTCAAAGTAATGACTCATCAGGGCAATATATAATTAATAAAGTAATTGAAAACGCTCTCTCCGTTTCTAATATTCAAACGGGTAATGACTAAGTTTTTCCGTAAACACTAATATTTTATAATATTTTATAATCTCTTTATAAATTTCGTTCATTACTTCACAGTTGCCATTATTATGTTGTGGGCAAGCTACGTAATATCTCTAATAATTAGCCCAATACTTTTTCAGTGGATATTTTCAGATGATCAAACATACCAAAAAACCTTACCATTTATGATCGAACTTTTTCTCAACGAACATAAATACTTTTACTGCATTTTCATCATACATTGTTTTATAGTGAATTCTCACGTTGTATTTTCAGGAACAATCATATCCTATCATTGTATAACTGTAGGTGTTATTATTGGGCAGCTTCAGTGTTTAAAGTATATAAAAAATTTTGAATCACTTTTTTCAGTTATTTTTATCAGATTTCTTCATAAATTGATATATCATGCGCTACTTGTTATGAAATTTAGATATTACTTGAATGAAATAGACGATGAATACAACCTTAAGATCTCTGCGCTCGACGAAGTTAAAGACAGCTTGATTTGCGAAAAACTAAGAACGATAATTGGTCGTCATCAACATTGTATCAAGTGAGCTATCTATTTTTAAGACAAGTTGATTTTTTCATGCAGATTTACGAGTCCCAGATGTTCACTAAACTTTTAAGGTGTTTGTTGGTACTTGAAAATAAAACGCCTTCTAGACAGGATTTAACAGGCACTGATAGTAATTGTAGAGCATACGAAGTTTTAAATATTATAAAATATTGAAAAATATTATATATCATTTTCGTACATCATACGTACGAGACTTCAACTTTTTCGTGTCCTGGGAACACCTCCTTTCCAAACGTTCAACAATAAAAAGATGAAGTCTGAATACTTTTCAGACGATTTGACTCGAATGTGTGAACTTGATATCATAAGACATGATATTTTTCGAAATTATATAATATTTAAAATTCCGTTGTACTCTATAATATTTTTCAAAGTCTACAAGATCAATCTGGTCAGTAAAAGGCTTAATTTTTAGATACTAAGAGAAACCTAAAAAAATTTGGATCTGTGACCTTGAGATGAAAGGTCCTCCTCATTGTGATAACATTTTTTATGTCAAAACTTGATGAAATAATTTTTTTGCGAGTTTTAGGGTTTTTAAGATGTTTAATTCTTTGACAAGTCCAATAGCATTTATATCAATGGTACTAGACGGACTTGTTCTCGTTATAATCGGAACATGGGTAAGTGTTCAAAGGCGACGAAGGCAATTTCAACATTATCACTATGTTATAAATCTAGATGGTGATTGCACTGTCGAATTCGGACTTGATAGAAACTGGAAAAATGATTTTAGCTTTCACAGGCAATCTGGTTGCTATAATTGTGGTATGTTTTCCAAGTCAATTAATGAGCAATGCCAGCTATGAATTTTTCCTTCAAAGGTAATAAATTTGTACATACATTCAAGTAACAAGAAAGTATGTAGTTTGTTTGAAAAGTATAGTTTCCACTTAGCAATTGCCTCAACTGGTATAATTATCCTATAAAAGCTAGGAAGTTTTTAATACTGATCATCAAAAACCTTAGTCAGTAAATAGTCTTTTTTATAGGTAATTAAAGGAACGATTTCGTATGCGGCAACTTTCAGATCAATATATACTTCTTGGTGAAATGTAAACAAAAGTTTCCGAAACTTTTTTTAAAGTGTGCAAAGCACGGGTAGGATGTACGAGTTTCCTTTTCATTCGATTATTGAAATCTTTGTAAGGTGGTATCTCAGTAACTAGCGTAAAGCCATCTAGTGGTCGGCTGCAGTACTACTCATACTGTATTAATATAATATTCCATCCGTTGATAGAATAAAAAGCTCAGAATGAAATATGACACTTTTGATTAAGATAAATCTTATTAGAGTAAAAAGTTCATTGGCTAAGTAACATAGTGTAAGTTGAAGCCGCTTCCTCGGCACTCACTATTGAAAATTATAACTAATCGAAAAGTATTTATGCAAAATTAAATCAATCATTATTTTAAATTCAAGAAGTAACAAATTTGAATTATTATGTTAGTTGTCTGTGGACAGCCATCAGAAAAGAAACATCTTTGCATTTAATTAATAAATAACATCGAAATGTGAAAAATGAATCCTCATAGCTATAAAAGCAATTTTTGAAAAATTAAAAAAATTCAAGAAAGTCAAAATATTAATCAAAATACAAAAATTCCAAATCAAAGAGAAATAAATCAAATTTAAAAATGAAACTTCTGTTGAAGTTTCACTTCTGCTGTTTAGATTATCTAGACACCATTCAACTATATGACAGCACCAGATGTGACATTTCAGAGTTTTTTTTCCTGGAACTTTATTTACTTTTTTTTCTTTTTGATTACATTTTTTGTTGTTGATTGTTTTCAACGAATTGAATGAAAAGATGTTTTACTTCTTATGACTGTGCATTAACAGCCAACTCAATAATCTTACGAGTGAGCCAGGCATATCGTTTAAACTGTCAAAAATCATTTATTTATCCCAATCGAAGTCACGTTAAATGTGTCTGTACACTATATACATACAATTGATTCAAAACTCGTCGTTACAGAGTTATATAAAATTATATATCAAACGGGACGTAAACAAAACATATTCATCGATCGCAGCGCGTTACGAGAACGTGTAAACGTTGTTACCGTGCGAACCATTTACTATCGGAGGGATCTTACGCCACTGGTTACCCAACCCGAAGCACTTGGTCTCGAACGCGAACTCGCTCGTCCTATTCTTGTTCGGGTTCGCCCAAAAGTCCTGGTAGCAAACTTGGCTGACGCAGTACAATCCGTCCTCCTCCCTTTGAAATACCTGCAGGTCGGCCCGGTATGTCCTCCCGTCGCAGCCGTACTTGTCCAACCAGCCGGTCAGGATCCGCAGGCCGCGTCTCGTCATCCTCGTCAGCCAGATCATACGATTCTCGGCGCGTAGACACGTGGCTTCGTCGCACTGGGCCGTGAGCACGAGCATGTCGCCGTCGGTGTCCGCGACGTTCAGCACGGCGATCTCGTTCAAGTGCGGATACTTGGGCTGGAACTTGTGCTCGTATCTCAGGCGGCCTCGACGATCCCACTGGGCGCAGGTCAGCCAATAGCGGACGCTCGGCGGATCGTCGTCGCCGCGCAGGACCTTGGCGCAGATGCTCAGGAAGCCGTTGCGCGTCGAGTAGGCCAAGCGCTCCGTCGGATCGGCTCCTCGACGGTACTCGAAGGAGTCCAGAAGCCGATACCTGGCCAGCGTTGCAGGATTCTTGTCGTGTCTGTTCCCGACGACGAGCGACACACCGGCGATCAGGAAGCCGCTCGCCGGGTCGATGAAGTGCTCGACGACCAGGTGGTCGCTCGTTGGATCGCCGTCCACGAGCGGCGCCACGGTCATCGCGTTGTCACGCTGCGACTGCTCGAACCAGAGGTAGGGCCCGTCCGCGTTCTGGAGACGATCTGCGTCGAAGCCGAGCCTGCATATGGTCACCTGGTTGATCTGCATCGGTCCGACGTAGCACTTGCTGGCCGGATTGTCGCTGATGACTATCGCCGCGAATCTCGTCTCGTCGTAGACGACGAAGCCGTAAGGCCGTAGCTGGCTCAGTTGTTCGGCGGCGGCCTCCTGGACCAGGCAGTCTTCGAGGTGCACGACGAACAGTCGCCACCTGTTGGCCGCAGACATGGGCATGCTATAGTCGTACCAGCTCAGGATCGTCTTGTTCTTGCCCAGGAGCCGCACCTTCATCGTGCCGGGCGTGACGTAGCCGGTGCTTCGTCGATTTATCCGCAGCATGATGGGGCATTGGTACCGTTGGCCCTTCCGGTCGTCCAGGTTCACCTCGCAGTCGAGGTATCTGCGCCGTTCGTCGACCACCACCCGTGGCTGCCGGTCGCAGACGACGTACGCTCGCAGGTCGTTCTCGTACGAGCGCCGATCGAAGACCAGATTCTGGCCCGGGTAGGTGTAGTGGACGATGGAGGGCTTGATTTCCGGAGGACTGGTATGGAGGTGGTAGGACAAAGTGGCGCCTTTCCAGCAGGTGTAGATCGTCGCTACTATCAGGCCGAGGGCCATGATGACATTGAATTGCCGGACGAGAAGCAGCATTTTGTCTGTGCGAACGAACGAAAAAAAAAAAAAAAAAAAGAATGAAGAAGACGACGGGACAACGAACAGATCGGTGAGCTATACTCTGTATAATTACCTTTGTTTACTTGCCGTGTGCTGTGTCAACGGCGACTGTGAGCGATCGACTGAGTGAAAGCAAAGGTGACAGAGCCGTACGAGGGTATGGTACAGGCTCATTATGTAGAGGGGAAAAATAATTTGTTTTTGTTAAATTCGTTTACGCGAATCAGGAATAATATATTTGAAAAAATGTTCAATATTCGATGGATAGTTTTTGGCCAACAAACAAGTTTCTTTTTCGTGAAAAGGATCATTAGAACTTGACGTGTAAGATTAAGACTGATCGTTGCCAATGAAAATGAGAGTTTTTTTTAAATTGGTCTAATTTTTTAAATTCAAGAGCTGCGAGTATAATTATCTTTTCACCAGTATTCAAGCGAATCATTATAAATGTACTTACATCATAAAAATCGTATAGCAACTGAAACTTTTATGAATTAAATACAAGTATAATTTTTATAGCAATTGTCTCAATTGTTTGATTTTTATTTCAAAATGAAATTGAAAATTTCAAGAGCTAGAAACATGGAATTTAAATCAAAATAAAGCTGGTTTTTTAATACCTCTACCTATCAAGTTACAAAGTAACTTATTTCGATTTCGAATGTTTGTTTTTCGGGACAAAGATAATAAGCTAATATTTTAGATTACCCAAGTTTTTAGATATTCTTTTTCATTGAATCTTAAGCAACAATTGATTTAATTTTTCATAAATACTTTTTGATAACTTTTGAAATTCGATAGTGAGTGCCGAGGTCGCTATCGAGGGATATTATGAGCAATTTATATCTCCGTAGAAGGGGCCAAAACGTGAAATTAGCTTAGTGCTATAGAAAAACCTATGGTAAGAGTGACTCAAGTAACTCATTATTGCACGACGCTGACCGCCCCGCGCACGTTAATATACTATTTTAAAATAATACATTTTATAAAATATATTTAAAACACACATCAATATGTATCAAATATCATTCACACATAAATGATGATTATTAATTTAGTTAGTTCAGTAATAATAAATAACTTGGCATTGCTCTGTGTTTATTAGTTTGCTGAAATTATCGTATCGTAATTCGTAAATATTATTAAATTTAAGTGAGTTTGATGTGTTGTAACATCATTACAGAAAGATAAATCGTTGGCAAAATTTCAAACGACAAACATGGAATCCCGTGGTATCGACTGTACCGTCAGGTAATTTTTATTTTATTCGAATGAAATTGTAACATTCACGATGTAACTCTCAATTTTTTTTATTAATTTCAGAATAAAAATAGAACCTTCTGATCTGTCGCTCACTGAAGAGGAAAATAACCTTACAGGCGAGACACCATATGCTGAAAATATTCAACATTCAAGTTTTCTGCATGAAAATTCAGTAAGATTTGATATTTATACAAGCGGCTATTATTAATCTACATTTTTCACGAAAATTTTTTTATAATTTCTACTTGATTACAGACCCACACGCTTCAAGAAAATGACGAAATTAAAATTGAGATCGAATGTGAGGACATGAAGCTTGGCTCGAATTTACTAGCAGTGACGAAAATTGAGGATAACTATTCCAATTACTGGCCAAAAATAAATTATAGCGAGGATCATAAAACTCAAAACATAATTAAAGTAGAAAAAGGTGTTGGTACGGTGAAACAAGAATTTCGTGTCAATGAAACAAAGAATCCGATTATGAATTATAACTGTGAACTCAACGAGCTAAATAGAAAAAGAAATGTTACAAATGAATCGAAAGATAAATGTAGACGCAAGGGGAACGCGGATACCGTGCACAGAAGTATCACCCACAATTGTGACGCATGCGGAAAAAAGTATTCAGACCGATCTAACCTCCACCGTCACGTCAAAATATCGCATAAGAATATCACTTACGCGTGTGATACATGCGGAAAAAAATTCAAGAGAAGGACTTATCTCAAAATACACACCGATTCAGTGCACAACGGTGTCAGACATACATGTGATGTATGCGAAAAAAAATTCACAACCAAGACTGATCTAAACAAACACATCGATTCGATGCACAATGGTAATCCACCTACATGCGCTATATGTGGTCAGACATTTACACTAAAGAGGGCTCTGAAAGTCCACGTGGACACGGTGCACAAGGGTATCACACATGCATGTGATGTATGCGGAAAAAAGTATTCAAACCGATCTAACCTCCACCAACACGTCAAAATATCGCATAAGAATATCACTTACGCGTGTGATACATGCGGAAAAAAATTCAAGAGAAGGACTTATCTCAAAATACACACCGATTCAGTGCACAACGGTGTCAGACATACATGTGATGTATGCGAAAAGAAATTCACAACCAAGAGTGATCTAAACAAACACATCGATTCGATGCACAATGGTAATCCACCTACATGCGCTATATGTGGTCAGACATTCACACTAAAGAGGGCTCTGAAAGTCCACGTGGACGCGGTGCACAAGGGTATCACACATACATGTGATGTATGCGGAAAAAAGTATTCAGACCGATCTAACCTCCTTCGACACGTCAAAATATCGCATAAGAATATCACTTACACGTGTGATACATGCGGAAAAAAATTCAAGAGTAGGATGTATCTCAAATTACACACCGATTTAGTGCACAACGGTCTCGGACATACATGTGATATATGCGCAAAGTCTTTTACTAAAAAGATTACTCTCAAAATCCATATTGATTCAGTGCACAATAAAGTCACACACGCATGTGATACATGCAGAAAGAAATTCACTACCAAGAGGAATCTCCAATATCACATTGATTCGGAACATAAAGGTATCACCTACGCATGTGATATATGTGAGAAGAAATTCACACAAAAGACCCATCTCAAAAAACATATCGATTCGATACACAATAAAATCTCATTTTCATGTGATTTATGTGGCAAGAAATTTTCATTCAAGTCTAATCTCAAAATTCACATCGATTCAGTACATAGTCGTATTACCCACCCGTGTGAATTATGTGAAAAAATATATAGAAATCGACGTAGTCTTAATAAGCACGTTAAATCATTCCACAATGGTAATGTTTATGTGTGTGATGAATGTGGCAAGTCATTTTCACAAAAGAGTAATCTTAAAATGCACATCGATATGGCACATCGCAGACGCTAATTAATTTATATTTAATTGTATTAAAAAACTATTTGTCGCGATTAATGGTAATTATTCGTAGGACTAATTGCGGCATTTTATTTATGATGATATTAGGAATTTCTCTTATCATCGTGTAAAAAAAATAACTTCGATGTCTTAGAAAAATGAATGATCCGTATGATTTCCTACCACCGATGTTTTTGAGGTGAATATAAAAATAAAAAACTTAAATGAGCGATTCCTCTGGAGAATCGAATGGGTTGGAAATATATTTTTTTAGGATTCACGATATAAACGTTTTTTCAACGAAATGTAGTCGCACTAATTGTAACCAAAATCTAATTGTAACGCAAAAACAATTTGCATCCTTAGTGAGCATGTAAAAACTTTGACGCGCTTATGATCCAAATATAACTATTATAAGCCAATTTGATTAACTGTTTTAAACTTGTATTTTGCCTGATTTGTACAGAATCTGTGCAGCTCATTTACCCTTGTAGAGAACACACAATTTTATGACTACCTTCTGGCCAAAATAACAGTTTCTTAAATATTATAGAGCCACAGGTCAACGTCTGTTTCAACGGCCGTAGAATGTTTCAAATTCTTTTGTGCTTTTTAATGGCTATTTTTCATCATGAAGAGAAAACCTTTTCGAATGCTGTTTATTTTGCCCTTGCCGATTTAAAAATACTTCAACGCAAATTGCCACTTGCAGATTTACAGATTTGATGATATTTGCCGTCTAGCGGAGAAGACTCGAACTCAAAGTGATTTAACATAATTTTAGCGGAAAAATTGCTACAAACGAGCTTCGCCACGTGTTATCTTTAAGAATTAATTTTCACACAGCATTCTATTTCAGCAAATCGTATTATAGCATAGCAATATTACCATCGACGTGCGAATTATCGAGCGTCATGACGATCCAGATCTTCTTGTCGTCTTCCTCGTCGTCGTCGTCGTCCTCGTCGCCGAACCCGCCCTTCTCCAGCCAAGTAGTCACATCCTCGTAATCCCCCAGCGCCACCACGACCAACTGCTGCTGCTCCGCATTCGTCGTCGTCGTCGCGTTGCCGCTCTTATCCACCTGCGTCTCGGCCTCTGTCACTCCCCCCTTGTCGCTCTTCACGCATATGCCGGCCTCCCGGCTCTTGCGCAAAAAAGCGTCGAGCACGGGCCTCGAGTCGGCCAGCAGCATATCAACCCGCGAGTAACGGCCCGCAAGAAAATCGACCAGAACGTCGAGCATCGGCAGAGTGAGATTGGGTGGGGCGTAAGTGTTGACGGGCAGCAGATCGAGGGCGCGCAGTGGCTCGAGCACCTCGCCGTAGCGAGCCGGCACAAGCAGGCCGAGATCGTAGTGGGCCGAGCAGTCCATCTCGACGGCCGAGACCAGGGCTTGCTTGTACACGGCTATACGGTCGTTGCACGTGTCGTAGATGCGCAGACCGAGCGTGACGCCCGGCACGTAGTCCGCCCGATTGAGCTGCTGCGCCACGTACAGGGCGGTGGCGACCTCCTGGATGCTACGTGGCGAGCTGATGTTGCACTCGGGCCCGTAGTCCGTGTCGATGAACACTGCGTGGATTTTTTTTGCGCACGCGTCGATAATAATAATGTAGTAATTATACGCGTGTGTATGGATACTCACCGGAGAGCACGGCGTCGCCCGACGTCTCCATGAACGTGTGATTTTTCATGCAGACGAGATCCTCGATGGCGATCGCGCTGACGAGCAGCAGCCAGATAACGAGCGAGAACATCGTCGCGATCGGCGTCGTCGTCGTCGTCATTTTCAACGACGATAAATCTTTACTTTACCGACACCTCGTAAAAAAAAAAAAAGAAAAAAGAAAAAAGAAACGGAAACAAAAAAAGCAACGAGCGACGCACCAAACTTCACGGTCTTTTTTTTTTTTATTTATTTTCGTGTCGAACCACGACGAGCAGCAGTATAGCAACAGCAGCAACAGCTGCTACTAGCCAAAAACTGATATATCTATCGTTATATTTCTCCGTGCGTCTCGGGGAGTCTCGTGGCTTGTGGCTCGGCGCGATATATGTTTAATCGATATCCCGCGGGCAACGCGCATCAATCCTCGTGACGTCGCTGCTGCATCGACGCGGTGATCCCATCGCTCCCCTCGTACCGCTGCCAATCTTCGTCATTTTTCGTTGTTTCCAAAGTTCCCTCGATATACTTTTTTCGTCGACTTCTCCGTGTCGATAATTAATTAAAATATTTATTTATGCTCGCGTTCTATAATATAACGTGTAGCCGAGAAGCAGGCACATATAAGAAGCTGACGTCGCCGCCGCCGCCACCAGTACCAGCAGCACGTCGGTCGCGGCGCGTGCGTCGAATAGAGAAAACCGTATAAAACATATAAAACGATTACTCAGACAATGACCCAATAACTGTGTAAACACCGATTAGCCTGGTTATAGGTGGCTCTCTCTCTCACTTTTTCTCCTTCTTCTGCTTCTTCTTCGCTCTTTTTTTTTATTTTTATTTTACCGAGAAACGTACGTACGCCCCCGATGATTATCGACTTTGCTCAATCGTTCGCAGCTCCTTCCGTATATAACAGCAGCAGCGGTAGCAGCGAATCGTATGTATGAAAGCGCGAGCGGGATCAATCGCTCGTTTTAATTCCAGCTTATGCGCGCGGCTTGGAGCTTGCGATCGTGTATACAGGCGCGCGTTACGGCTCGTTAAAATCATTCGCGTAAACGCGCCACACACTACGCGTTATGAGGCACTTTTTTTCGCACCCTCCTCCTGCTTCTTCTTTTTCTTTCTTTTTCTTCTTCTTCTTTTTTCTTCCGTTGCCGTCGGCGTTTGCGCACACACATACACACTACAAACTGCACAATTACTCTCGCACTCTCTATACCGTGTTATATACCGTTTCAGCTCGTCGTCGACGAAACTCGGCAAACGGACGCATTTGCACGCGCGCGCGCGGGCACAAATGGGGAGGAAAAAATGTGCACAAGTACAAACGCGTCGCGGACTTGTTATTTTTAATTTTTCACTCTTTCCGACGTAATAACGTATGTACAACGTACTGTGTGAAATTCTACTGCCACACGGAGGAGAAAGGGTAGGTAGTGTCGCGCGAGCTCCGTACCGTCTCCGGGGCACTCGACGCAACTACTGTCGGAAGCCATATTTTGCACCTCTCTCTCGTGCAAGCTCTCTCTCTCTCTCTCTCTCTCGCACTAGTGTGTTTCTCTCTTCTTTTTTTTTTTAACTTAAACGAATTAGACATGCCGCGAGCTTGAACATGCACGAGAGAGAGAAAAAGAGAGGGAGAGAGAGAGAGAAAAAAAGGCGGCTCCGACGCGCGCCACTTAATTGACAGGTATTACAAAGCATGAAGCGAAACAAGAGAGAGAGAGAGAGAAAAAAATGAAGGTACAATCGTACGTCATATATTGAATTGCTGATAAGAATTGAGTAGTAGCATATTGCGCAATATGGGATTGCTATTTTGTCTGTGCACACGTACATATTCTCTCTCTCTCTCTCTCTCTCTCTAGCTTCGTACCAAAGCTCTAAAGTTAGAATTGGCTTGGTACTTCTTTATATACGTGTTGTTTCCCATGTATATGAACGATTCTCAATAAGCGTTAAAAATTGAAGTATAAAATCATAATGATTCTTTTATTGCACTACACCCATGAAAAACGTTTTTTTTTGAACATTCTGGTGTATAAATCAATAAAATAATGTTGCCACTCATTTTTGAAAAAGCTTTATTAAAAAACAACCCCTCAAAAGCTGTCAATTTTGAAGTGAATTTTATATGACAAGGATGCACCTAGTGAAAAAATTGTCTTCATAAAAAGTGTTTAGAATTGTTCAAGGAATATCCCTAAATTTTTTCAGAATTTTTGGAGCAATTTTTGGATTTTTCAACGAAATGGTCACATCCAAAAATGTGAAAGTCGCTCTATCGTTAAGTGCTTAATTTTAGAGCTCAAAAATTTAATTATTATACAATTAAAAACATAAATCATTTTTAATTTGAATCATTTTTTTCTAACATTCAGGGGCATAAATTAATAAAAAATTGTTTATATTCTACTGCACCCAACGACATGGGTGTGCATTAGCACAAGTAGTGTAACTAGCAAAATATAAACAAACTCTTCATTACGATCTTTCATATACCATGGATAACAGTGATAAGACATATACATTTTCTAGTATTTATTTAGAGGCCTTTATTAAATTATTGCTAATTTTTTTATGTTTTATTATAATTTTTGTATTATTACTTATAATTCAAAAATTTTTTCATAATTTGTTTTAATTATTTTTATATTTAATTCTTTTATTTATAATAATTTTTAATGCATAATTTTGCAATAAATATTTAAACAACATTGTTTAAACAATAATTATTGCTGTTTAAACAATAAACTAGTTCATTTATTGTTAAAATTATGCTTTGAATCGAATTTGATAACATTCAACGAATTCACTGCAATTATAATTTTTTACTCGATTTTCTTAAGCGTTTCCCCGCTATTGAAATAAAAATTAGGGTATAAGATACGCATTTTTAGATTGAGTACCATCGATATTAAAAATGGCAAATGGTTTTAGGAACATCCGAATAATTTTACGGGTGTAACATTAAAAAAACCATATTTTCTTAGCGAGTGGCGCAGCATACATGCGGGATTCAATTGCATGTATATTCTTCAACTGAAGACTGACAGTCTTCAGTGACATCTCAAAAGATTCGTTGAAGCTAATACTTGAAACTGCTGTAGTTTGGTGCAGATTAACGAACACTTTTTTTAGCTATACCCGTTTAAATATTTTTAACTTGATTTGACAAAAAGCTAGTCCCTCTTGGTATATTAATGGTAGGCGCTTTTCAAAGGGTCTGACATGAACCAAACATATTTTTTCAATAAATATAGCTTCAGAACTATCTCCAAAAAAATTTTGGAAGGGATTGAAGATTACTTTTTTACTCAGAAGCTCTAAGAAAATTTTTAAGTAAGGTAGTCCCTCTTTCAAATGTCTTAAAAATCGTGTTTAAATTGCTTGTAAATCTATCTATAAATACAATAAAGTAAGCAATAACTACATGATGACTTTCAAAACTTCCTATAGAATAAAATACATGCCCCTTGATCCTGATAAAGACTTTAATTTCGATGTATATAGCAATTTTTTAAATTTTAACGCTTAGTGAGAATCGTTCATATATCCATGCTCACACACACACATATCCTCGCTCTTTCCACGCTAAAGGAGCAGTATCTCCGTGAGTCGAATTTCAAGATGTTGTTTGTCTGCTTCTGTTGCCGCTGCCAGAAACCACCCGTATACATACGTGCAATATGTGTGCGTCTATATAGCATAATACACGTCGAGCAGACGAGGAGGCAAGGAGTTTGCGTTTGTGTGTACAAACACTCGATGCTCCTGCGGCTATGCAGTAGCTGCAGCAGCAGAAGCAGCAGAGCCTTGGCGCACATGAACACACACACACACACACACAGACAGAGGCATGTATGATCTGCATTATAAAACGGAACAAACGACGCGGCGCTTGTGCTGCACACTCGATAATGCAAAATATATAGGAGGGAAGAGAGAGAGAGAGGTCGTTTAATATTTCTCTGCGGCACATGAGGTACGAACGTTTTTTTACAATCTTTCGCCCCTTTATTTTTCCTTCATTCCTTCGTTGTTGTCTAGGCGTTGAACGTCGTTGTTTCTCTCGTTTGCTGCGCTGTCCCGACCTTCGCGGCGCAAACGCGGTAAAGTACAGGATTAAGAGAGGGAAAAAAGCTCGCCTCCTCTTTTTTTTTTGACTGAAAAAAGAGAGAATAAGAACGTACGTACCCTGCAGACAATGTCATAATGTGCATCGCTGCTGCAGCTCCCACCGCTGAAACATTATAAAACGTCACGTACAAAACGTTAACATACATTTATACGTATGCTTGTGTGGGTGTGTGAGTGAATATGTATAAACTGTACACACACACGCGCGAAAGCAGCAGCAGCGTAATAATACGAAGTAACGTCGCGGCGCGTACATCTCTCTTTCTCTTTATTCTCGCTCGCGCCGCAAAGCTTTGACCGCATCTATGACATTTCTCGTATTATTATTATATACATATGTTCTCTCGTTCTCTCGTTGGTTCGTCGACGCGCGCAACACGTCCCGAATTCGAACAATATATTAACGATATAATTCGTGCGGCTCGGAGAATATGTAGAGACGGACGCACATAGATGCTTATTCGTTATAACGTAGATACATGTGCGTATACGCGCGCTGGTGGTATAATATCTCTCTCCGGTTGAATTTTGATACGACCCGCGCGAGCGCGACTCGATCTTTCTGCCCGTTGTTAAAATAATGCTACGTGCGTCCGCATGCTGTTCCGTTCGTTTCCGCGCGCGCGCGGGCGTCTGTTTATCAGTGAAAGCTCTGCACCCACACACACATACAATAAATACACGCGTACGTACGTACGTTCGCAAGCTCTCTCTCTCGCGCGTGGGCGCGCATGTATATAAATGTATGTATCGCGTAATCATGACACACTGCACACGCCTCGACCTCTTCGCAGCCCCCCTCCCCCCCTCATCCTCCTGCCCCTGCGTTCAGGTATGTACGTACACTCGGTACGCGACCAGAGCTTGATTAATTTGCTTAATGTGTCATATGTGTACATATATATGTGTGTATGTACCTATATGTACGCGTGTAAGTGCATAATAGCTCTTCGCTGCTGCCAGGAGCCTTCGAGCGATGATGATGATGATGATGATGATGATGCAAAGGCTAGTTGCTCAGCTGCCACTGCTGCTGCTGCTGCTGCTGCTGCTGCTGCTGCTGTGGTACCTTCGACAGAGTGTAATTACATTTATTTACGCGGCGGCGGCGGCTGCTGCGTTGCATTGTTATCGCAGAAAGCACTTACAAGTACGCGCGTATTAGATCACGCAATAGTCAATTATAAACGACGCGTATGTAATTCCTTTTTTTTTTGTTGTTTCGTTTTGTTTATATATTTATTTTTCTCTCCTCGTTTGATTTATCGTACATTACGTGTTCGTAGGTTAATGTTTATAAGAAAGCTACGTATGACAATATTATATTATAAACTATACGCTATACATTGCATCCGTTATCCAATACAAATATAAATTAGTTTATCAAAAAAAAGCTCCCATAACACATATAATATCAATTTTCCTAAATACATAGTAACAAATCCATCCTATATATCGTTTAATTATCTAAATCGGCTGAAAGCATGCGCGTGTGTGAGCGCGCGTTTTCGAACCGAAGTACCTGTGCTGTGTACACAAGGCGCCGCGTGATTGCATAATGTCACTGTATATATATATCTCGCTGCGCTGCGCCCACATACTCGTGCACACGATATGTGTACACGATAGTTGAAAAAAAAAAAAATGAAAAAAAAAAAGAGGAAAATCAAACGAACCGCGCGCGCGCGCGTGAGTACGCACAAATACACACACACACGCGGACACTACACACACACAATCAGCGCTGCCGCTTCTCGACGTTTATTTTCTCTTCTTCTTCTTCTTCTTCTTCTTCTTTTTTTACTTTCCGCAATCGAGAATCACTACACTGTACAAGCTCTGCGGCTCTCTGCGTTGTATACACATATATAGCGTGTCGTCGTCGTCGTCGTCGTTGCCGTCGACGTCGTCGAACGAGGTCAGTATAAAGCCCGTATTATACACCGACGCATACATGTATGTATGTGTGTACGTGAGTCCAGTTCCATGTAGTACTACTACACATAGTACGACACACGGCGAAGGGTGTCTCTCTCTCCGCTTTCCACAAGCCTCTCTCGCTCTTGGTTCTGCTCGGAGCGCTATAATTTGATGGTCATAATAACAGTATAATCGAATCTGTCGTCTCTCTCTCTCGTGTAGTAGTAGTACTTGTATATATACGTACGTGTCTTCTTCGTTTGTCTCTGCTGCTGCCACTGCTGCAATATTGTGTATATATATAGGAGAGAGGAGGTCCATTAAGGTCTGCCCATGACGCAACTGTGGACTCGGGCGTAGTTTTCGGTGTAGAGGAGCTTGCAAGTCGCCGCGTTGTTCTCGAACGTCATCTCGCCGATCTTCAGTTCTGGATTCACTGCCACCTATTTTATATATATAATGTACAGTACATTGAGAGAATAAAATGAAAATAAACGGCGACGAACGACCCGATGCGGTTTTTCGGTCGTATAAACTTCGCGATATATCGCACACGTCGGTAATTGACGACGCGTCCGAGAGTTTATTTATTTTTCATTCGCGAACAATCGTGAAAATCAGCGCTAAGGGACTAATTATCGATCGCGCGCGGGCAGCAGCAGCTGTGTGTTTTATTTGCTTTTTTTTTCTGTTTCTCCGGAGCTATCTCTACTATACGTGTTTTTTTTTTGTTTCACGATCGGATGCATCGTGATTTATAATGCGAAAAAAATTGTTCGATAGTAAATAACTTAACGATCTCTCGCGCGAAACTTTTTCCTCGCGAAGCGCACACGGATTGTGCGCCAGATGGCGGCCCCCTCTGCGCGCGAACGTAATTCAAGTGCATGTATATAATGATAATAATAATAATAATAACGGGAGCGGAATGAAGAGGGGTTGGAGGAGGAAAAAAAACACGAGCAAAATTTAATCTGTATACTCGCGCGGCGAAGTGAATTTTAAAATGATAAATCTTGTCTTCTTCTTCGGATCTTCTCTGTACTCTGTGCCCGGCCGCGCGACCAATAGAGAATATCTTTTTTCCTATATCTTCTTCCTTTTTTTTTATGTATATTATAGATAAAAAAAAAGGAGCTCGAGCGAACCCGAGCGCGCAAAACGTATTTCCATAGATTTTAGCTATACACGAGCTGCCATCCGCCGCGCTGCGGCACATGATAAACTTCGCGAGCGGCTAAATCGAATTTTTTTACTTTCAATCATTTATTTATTATATCGTTATAATGTGAAGTACGCGCGACGCGAACTAAAAAAAAGGAGGAAGGAAAGAAAACCGAGAGTAATAAGGAAAAAAAGAAAAGTAAGTTTGAATAGAGCTTAAATTTTCAAGTTTTGTCAGACGAATTTGTCGCTATGATGCATTTTATACACTAGCTTTTTCTCAAAGTGCTTCGTTGAATCATTTTTTAATTTCATTTTTTTCCGTAATAATATATCAATTGACTATTCATTAGACATGTGCCCTCCCGCCTCGGTGTAGTGTAGCGCCACCTGTATGCAATGCGCACGAACTAAATGCATGCCATGCATGATGTAAACAACAAAATAGCTCTTTGCCTCTCGCCTGTTTTACAGTGTATACTTCGCTCGATTATCATCGAAAGATCATTTTTTATTGTCATTTTAAGTGAGAAAGATGGACTCCAATGATTTATTCAACTTTGTTGTCAGGTAATTTTCATTTTTGAGAATGAAATTTTAAAAATATCTCTCAACACTCGGTGCATGAAACGTAGTTTTTCTAACCTTTCAGCGACATAAAAACCACGTTTTACGCACAGAATGTTAAAAAATATGGTATGCAACTGGTGCGTGAGGAGGATGACTCGCTGCGTTCGAGCGAAAACGACTCCTGGAGGAGTCATCTTCTTCACGCAATTGATACATAATATACTATAACACAATACTTGATTTTTTTGGGGTTATTTCAGAGTGAAAGATGAGCCTAGCGATGTGTCTCTTGTTGAAAATAATAGTGAAATGATCGACGAGAAACCCGATCTTAAAAACTTCCAACTCTTACGATATCCACCAGAAAATTCGGTAAATGTTGATAATTTCATGTAACTGGTTGTGTAGTTGTTTTGCCTCGTGAAAATCTCATATTGCTTTGATTTTTCAACAGGCTCAGGCTTCAAGTGGACTTGAAGGCGAAATGAAAATAGTTTTTGAATGTGAAGATGTGAAACCTAACTTTAATTTATTAACAGTTGAAAAAATGGATGATGATCTTTAACATCAATCGGAAGATATGAACAAAGATATGAACTCGCAAGATATGGCATACAAAGGTATCAAACGTGCATGCGATGTATGCGGAAAAAAATTTTCACACCGATCTAGCCTCTACCGACACGTCAAAATATCGCATAAGAATATCACTTACACGTGTGATACATGCGAAAAAAAATTCAAGAGTAGGATTTATCTCAAATTACACACCGATTCAGTGCACAACGGTGTCAGACATACATGTGATACATGCGCAAAGTCTTTTACTCAAAAGGGTACTCTCAAAACCCATATTGATTCAGTGCACAATAAAGTCACACATGCATGTGATGTATGCGAAAAGAAATTCACAATCAAGAGTGATCTAAACAAACACATCGATTCGATGCACAATGGTAATCCACCTACATGCGCTATATGTGGTCAGACATTTACACTAAAGAGGGTTCTGAAAGTCCACGTGGATACGGTACACAAGGGTATCACACATGCATGTGATGTATGCGGAAAAAAATATTCACAACTATCGAACCTCAACCTGCACGTCAAATCGCATCATGATAATATCACTTACGCGTGTGATACGTGTGGAAAGACATTCTCAAGTAAGAGTTATCTCAAAATCCACATTGATGCGATCCATAATGGTATCACACATTCGTGTCATATTTGCGAAAAGAAATATTACTATAAGTGTGATCTCAAGACACACATTGATGTGATCCATAATGGTATCACACATTCATGTCATATTTGCGGAAAAAAATTCTCAACGAAGGGCTATCTCAAAAGTCACGAAAATGTGCATATGAATTACGTATAGATATGCAATTAAGAGTGAACGCCCACATTGTTTCGGTGCATCACTCACGCACTCAAATTCAAAAAACCTAAACCTAATATTTTAGTTACACATTCACAAGACTGATTAAAAATTTTTCCTTTACGATAATATTGTGAATTATTCCAATGCTATCTTTCGATTGAACGAAACGAATTATGTCAAAAAATGTATAAGTTCTGAAAAAAATCAATAAATTTTTGAAGAAAAATCAGGCACATTATTAATTTTAACCCAATGAAATGTTGAACCCCTTAAGTTGATGTCAATTTTATAACTACAAATCACTTTGAAACTAGCTTAGCTCGTCCTGAATTTTTTTGCGAGCTCCGTATGCCGCGTTAATGGAATTTAACACATGAATCTTTTTATAAGAGGACTCGTGTATCTAACTTTTAGACTCACTTCGCGCGCAGTAATATTTTAGTCGCGCTTGCCATTTTGTTGCTTCATCTCATTACGGTTTGAGTCAAAAGCAACTCGGCCAATCAGAAGCTGTTTGAAGCGGCTCCGCTTTTCGGTCTATCACTTTTTGGGAAGTAAAAAAATATATAAAATAAAATAAAATAAAATTAAAAGAAACATATAGAGAATGTGCATGTCCGAGAGGAGATCGGTATAATTGAATCGTCGTCCGAAGCCATAATACGAAATTCCTCGATACAAATTCACGTATAATCAAATTATTATTATATTTAATTAAAAGTTTGCCATCGCGAGCCCAACTCTCGAGAATCGTCGTCGTAGCGGGTGGGCTATACAAGTGGAAAATTAATTAGTTGGTACAGTTCGTATATAATATAACGTCACATATATATATATATCGCGAAAGAGAAAAAAAAAGGAATGCAACGCGGGGGGGTTGAAGCGAGCTCGCACGCGCGGCCGCAACTGTACGCGTCGAGGACGATAAAAGTCAAGCCCCATAAAAGGCTTAAAATATATACGGATAAACTCTGCAAAGCTGGCTCTTTTTTTTTAACCATCCCTTTTTATCGGTAATGGTGTATAAATTTTATTCCGCATTAAATTTTTTTTCCCCCTCTTTTTTTTTTCTTTTACCTTGAAGGTGTAGGAGCCGGGCGAAAGCTCGGTTATGTCGACCCACTGGCAGTCGAGGTTGTACTTGTAGATATCGCTGCAGTTGACCGATATGCCCTGGTCGCCGTAATTCACGCATTTGTATCTGTTTACAACGTGCGTATGTAACGAAAAAAAAAAGAAATAAATAAAGCTGGAAAACGTAAGAAACAAAGAAAGAAAGAAAAGAAAGAAACGAATGTGTGTCTGTGTGTGTGTATACCTGGGCTCGACGCCGGCTAAGCACTGATTGTCCTCGAGGCAGAATGAAGCCTTGTGACCCTCGGCGACTCGTCTGCCCTGCGAATCGATGATGTCGAAAGTCGCGAATACCTCCATCGAATGGTAATGCCTGAAACGAGTATAGTATTATATTGTATCTGCTATACGACAAACGTAACGGCGCACGAAAAATACGAACGTATTTATTTTTATTTATTTCATTTTTTTTCTCTCTACCGTCTCTCGATTCTTTTGACGATGCATGTAAATACGTATACATTTTGCCGTATGATATTGTATCGCGCGTACGTAAGCAGCTTTACGCACCGAGAGAGAAGGAAAATATTGCATTATACGCGAGTTTGTTTCTTTGAGACATGTTTGTGTATACGGGAGGAGAAAACTTTTGCCGCTCTATGGCCCGAAGCTAAATGGAACAGACTGCCTTTGCGTATAAAGCATCTGTAATAGGTGTATTGAAAGACGCGCTGGTACAACATCGTCGACAGAGTAATATATTTAAAAAAGAAGAATATAAGGTTTTTTTATGATGATCAAGTTATCGAATCAGTTATTGAATCGAGCCGTGTTTGGTGCAGACCATTTATGTAGAAAAAAATTTAAGCCGTACTTTTACAATTACTTGGCTTATACGATCATTTTCACTTTACCACTTGAAAGATTTACGGATGAAGGTGCTCGACATCTACCGGTGAAGGTTGGCTTTAATTGTGAAGCGTGATTGGGTTTTCATACGTTTTTTGTACAATCAATGCAAAACCAAATCAGTAAGAAAGCATTATGATGAAGAGTATGACTCAAGTAACAATATCCAAAAGTGTCCTGTTTGGCTTATACATTGATTTCAACTTTGCCGCATTTGGATTTTCGGAAAAAGGTTCTCGCCATCTAGTGGTGAAGGCTGACTTTAATTTTGATTGATTTAGCACTCAATGCACTAGATAATTGTATTTTGCAACGAGTCCAATGTTCAGAACTTTCAGAACAATATGATTCGTCGACTATCGATATTTTAAAACTCGTAAAAAAATCAAGTAAGGTCACGGTCCCGATTTTCGCTTTGAATTTATTCTTTACATGAGATCAAGTTGCGATGCAATCGAATCGTTAATATTCATCATAGTTTACAAGCTCTACCTGTGACACATGTGCCATTCCCAGAGATGCTTCGGTATCGCCGGCCGAAAGTCCGCCGTCCCTATGTTCACTGTCCTCGCCGTGAACTTCAGCAGTCTTCGCCTGTGCCACCTCCAATCGGCCGACTCGCGCTGCACCCGGTAGGCCTCCGTCGCCAGGCAGTTCTCCTCCATGGCGCACTGCAGCCAGTGCAGATAGATCTCCTCGAGGTGGGCCGACTGCTCGAGCTCGCGCGCGTCGAAGGCCAGGTCGGCCATGTCGCGCGAGCAAGCGACACCGGCTAGGTTCTCGCCCACGCCTGGGCAGTCGACGCGGCGCCGATGGGCCCGGCACTCGGCCAAGTGGCGCTCGTCGCCCCGGCACTTGATGCCGGACAGCGACATGCCGAGCCTGTGGCTGCCGAACACGTTGGTCTGGTAGGCGCGCGCGGCGTAGCCGAGGCCCAGCTGGCGACAGACCACGGCGGCCTCGAGCATCGACCAGCCGTCGCCGCACACGACGCCCCAATCTGCCGATACGAAGAGAGGCAAATATATATGTAATATATATTTATTGCACAAAGCCATTGTCCCGCGTAGGCCTGCGGATTATGACAATTTTTACCACCGTACCGTTACAAAATTTAAAACAGGTTCAAACATGATTTTGTTGAAAGCTCACACCTAGGAGCAAACCCAAACATTCCTTCGTTTTTGTATACTTATTTATTTTTTTTTATCGCTTATCTGTGTTACCTTGTATAGTGGTTTCTTGAAAAGTAGCATAGAGCCATCTAGCGTTTGATCTCGGTAATCGGCTATGAATGTCCTAGCGCTCCAAAGAAAATGTTTTTCATTGCTAAGCACTTTTCAAATTCAAAAATCGCGTCTTTTATTTGTTTACGGGAAAATAGTTATTTATTGACGTTCGAGATCACTCTCCTCTCGACTTATTGACATAAAAAAAACCGGGATAAACCCTAAAAAAAAAATCGTAATTTTTGACGTGCAATACCATTTTAATGTACAAACAGTACATGGTTTTTTCTAGGTTTTCTGTGTCGAAAAGTCGAGGGGAGAGCGATAAAAAAGTTTCGAATAATTACGACAATGTCAAACACTCTCGAGCGTCAAAAGTAAACTATTTTGCTTCAATAAACATGATTTTTTACATAGAAACGTGCATGGATATGAATTAGTATATTATCACGTGCTTGTATGGAGCTAAAAACTGAAAAGCCTCGAATTCGCCTCGGCCGCCGATAATTACACGCGCTCCTATGCTTTCCGAGGCACGCAATATACCGTTTCTTTGCGGCGCTCGGACATTCGAAGCATATGAAAGCCGAGTACCGAGACAAGCCGCTAGATGGCTTTATGCCACCTTTCAAGAAACCATCATACGAAGTAGCACAGATCAGTAATAAGTCCTCGCTCGCATTACTTAATACCAATAGAAACACCAGCCATCTGTCTTCAAATAAAAAAATAAACGAATAAAAAAATTCGACCCATCTCTAGGCTTCAAAATTCGCCATCCAAATCGTGAAATCGCTCGCGTTACGATCGAGTGTTATACACGAGTCTTTTGATCGCGCGACGCGCACGACCTTTCCCGCGGGCCGCACACACGTCTTTATAACTAGGCTCTCTAGCTAGTAGCTCGCATCGATCGGCGCCCCGCGTAAAGAGGCTTAACTACTCTCTCTCTCTCTCTCTCTTCGGTGCACAGAGGGCTAAGTCGGCTGCGTAAGTGCCTCCCACCTCCCGCGTGTACATATATATAATATATAATCCCTCACTCGATACGACGTATATATATGTATAATAACGTACCCGAGCCGGCGAGCTTGATCTCGACGCGTCCCTGATGACGGGCGTAAGAGCCGGACAGTCGTAGCGCGAGGCCGCGCCGATGCGTGTCCCTGATCTTCGCGCTGCTGGGGCCGTCGTCGCCGTCTATGGAGTTGGTCGGTTCGTCGTCGTCATCCTCGCCGTCCGATCTACGATTATTATTATTATCGTCGACGTAACCGGGATGATGACAGACGACGCCCGCGGCCTCGTCGCCGCGACAGTCGGACTTGGCCCAGCCGTTGAAGCGACACTTGGCCAGCTCGGGCTCGACCCCGTCGCAGATCACGTCGTCCATCCAGTAGCGTCCTTAAACAACCACAACAACGACGACGTAGATTTGCGATGCAAATTTTGCCAGTTTATAGGATATACTTACTTCGAGCCTGGCCGAAATTGCCTCGTGTCGTGGCGCGGGCTCGGGCCGAGCCGTAGCCCAATTGTCGGCAGACCACACGGGCCTCGAGCTCGTCCCACTCGTCGTCGCACACGTTGCCCCAGCTGCCTTTGTGCAGGATTTCCACGTTGCCTGTGTGACAACGCGTAATATATAAGATATTGCAAAATTTTCCTATACGTACGACGAAGAAGAAAAAAATAGAGTCAAAGGTTATATAAAAAGGCCGAAGCTAAAAAATAGAAGAAGAGAGAGAGTAAAATGGGAGGAGGGCAAGAAAAACGAGCGGTAATAAAGTAAGATCATTTTCGTAAGTGCAGCCATCAATTGCATTATATACGGGTATATAAGTCGGGGATCGCTGCTCACTCTCTTCTCTCTCTCTCTCTGCTGGGGTTATATAAGTCAGTTTTACAAGCGAGCGGACGACGGCACATGCACATGCACATGCAGCACACATATATGGAGGCCAAGCGCTTAGTACTACACTGTGTGCTATATAGCGAACCATGACAACGATGCTCGCGATCTTTGGCCGACTTTTCCCATCTAAATTCCTTTCGAAGCCCTTCCAAATGATCCAATCTTTTAGATTAAAATCGTTCAATTTTATCATTCCCTATATATATATATATATATATATATACCATCCCTTTTGGCTCGCGCGACGTTATAATAATGTCACTGCTCAGGCACGAAAAGAAAGGATAAGGGCTTGATCTATGAAAATCGATGATAATAAATCTTCGGCCTATTACATATATACGTCGCATAATATCATCCAAAAGCTCGGATTTGGTATTTTCGTTGATGACTCTCCGTACGAGCGATCAATGGAATTCTTCGTTCTTTTATTATTAGTATATATAGGAAATCGGCGCATCGATGCGCGTGTGTAATAAAAATCGACGCGACGACGAGTTTATTTGTCATTCATCGAGACGCGTGTGTGCAAGTCTAATGTCTCTCTCTCTCTCGCAAAGTCGTTAAACGCGCGCTCACCAGAAATCGTCGCTGCTGCCGCCGAGATTTATAATCGCTATTAATAGAAGATTAGCGGCTCAATAAATCCGTCATCGCCCGCGCGCGAGCTAGCCGCGGTTTAATTGAGAGATAATGCTATATGGAAGTACGACGTTATTACTTACTTACAATTTACGTATTATACGATCGTTATAATAGCGTCGCCTTAATTGGATATACTCGATGCATGGCGAGTATTCGGTGCGGCTTTCGGCGTTAATTGATTTTTAATTTTTGCCTATCAAATGCGTGTATAATGAGGACGAAAAAGAGTATAGTTTTGCGTGCCCCCGAAAGTAATCGTATTTTCCTTTATATTCGCGCTCATCCTGGCCAAAAGTCGTAGCAGCAGCAGCAGCACCCAGTAAATATAAATAGCACATGATACGACGAGGTGCGCGGCGTTTATCTCTCGGTAATTGCGTTTAACTTGGAGCTCCGCTCCGTTAAAGCACACGGTATAGTATATATTTGACGCATTGCGCTCGCTCGCAAAAGCTCGCAAGTTCGGGCCTCGGTACATAAAGTACCGAGTTTTATCCGTGCTCGCGCGCGAGAAAAGTCATTATATCGCTGTTGTTGTTTTAATCTTTCTTTTTTTTTTGTTTTACTTGTTGTCCAAAGTTTTTCGGTCGAACAACAAGAACAACGAAACGATCGTTTCCGTGCGTGCGGATAGGGTGCGATTTATAATAATAATTTTCAGCGAGAGGATTTATTTCGCAATTATTACGATTACTTTTTTCTTTACCCCTCGTCGCTCGTCGCTGCTGCTGCTGCTGCTGCTGTTGTTGTTGTTGTTCGCGCGAGTATCGAAAGCGAATCCAAAGCGAGCGGCTGCAGTTAGTTATATAGCTAGTTAGTTATGAGCTGGCTATATACTACACTCCATGAAATCGCGAGCGAGGGGGTAGTAGTGGCAGTAGTATAGAAGAAATAATTGAATGATAAATTTGCCCGCGGGGGGTCAGCGGCTATGATGATAATAATAACAACAACAACCCTAATAATAGATGATAATAATAATGATAACAATAATAACGGCAGAGGATGATGATGATTATAACAATAACAAGAAACTAACAATGATAACTCGATCGACGAGCTCTCCACTGCACAAACAGCAGCAGCAGCAGCCCTCATCGCGTATACATATAAACTTTGTCTCGGGTTGTACGGGAAAACTAGAGAGAGAGAGAGAGTCCATATTATATATACGCTGCATGCACAGCTGCAGCTTAATAATAATACTATAGCTGGCGAAACTAGCTCTCTGTCTCTCTCTCGCTAAGCTCGAAACACTCCTCCGCGGCACAATAACATCTCTCTCTCTCTCTACATAATACGTATGCACGCGCGCGAGTTTTTCCTTCGTCCAAGTGCACTCGGAGAGTATAAGAGAGTAAGAGAGGGAGAGAGACAGAAAAAAGTATATAAGCAACGCGAAGCGCATTTTAAAACGCGAAGCGAGCCGAGGTGCGCGATCCAACGCGTCGCGTCGCGAATAGCTAATGATTCGCGTTCGTATATATATGATATATATCTATGTGGATCGGTATTCCGTAATATTACGTGTGTGTGTGTATGTGTGTAAGTTCGCGAGGTGTATGCACCGAGGATAGTACGGAGACTCTCAAGTATGACAGTTTGATCGATCGATTACAAATTTATTCAAATCATCGCTATATACGATATATCGTGTACGCTTAGCTTGTTTACACTGATTGTTTTTTAATGAGAAAAAATTGCCGGGGAAAATAACGCGCGCGCGCGCGCAATGTCACTCGGTGCTACAATGCCGTTAAGAATACTTGCGTTAAAATTAATTTAAAAGCGGAGGAAATCGATGCCGAGAGTCTTTAATATCAATGACGATTGTTAATCGACGTGACCAAAAATATGTAACTTAGAAAAAACAGGGAGGTATCTTGTATTTGTGAGGCCGTCGGTAAATTACTCATACTTGATGCTAAAACATTACTATTTCACTTGTGGTTTTCGAGAAATCGATCGTTCGCCATCTAGCGGTAACGTATGAACTACTTGACATAGTCTGAAAAAATCTTGCGCCGGGATTAAATTTTGGACTGGTATCTACTTGTTGTATTTTTCATGTTAAACAAAACGCGTTGGAAAGTTTGAACATAACGAAAATTTTTTTTGTGTGCACAATTTTTTCAATCTCAAGGCACTATAAGAGTATACGTCCAGTAAACCTACGAAAATTAGTTAAAGTTCGCACGTGATTATGAATACGTTTGCCTTACTTCTCAATACATTGAAGTTTTGTATGTTTTCAGCATTCTGCTTAAATTTTAATGCGAGCAGGTCCATTAAATCAGATAAAATAACACAGCGGTATTCATGAGTAACATTTGTAATTTTAAAGTTAATATTTAGTAAAAGGTCTTCTTAAATACTTGATTACAAACGTCCATTAAAAGTACTTTACGAGTCCATTAAGAAATTTACCAATAAGTTTTTTACAGTGTAACGATAATAAATCGTCGAAATATAAATTGTGGAAGCAAGCAAACATCCTACCTATAAATCCTAAGCATCATCCCTCGCTAATGATTGCACAGAGAAGCTATGAGTACTATGCTACCGAATTTTTTAATAAATTACCAATGAAAATTTTTTAAGCATTGAGCCAAGTGAGAGATTTAATTTCTTCCGTTTATTTTTTGTTTGAAGTATCGAAGTGATAATTATGTAATAATAAAATTATATTTCATTTTGTCTACCCTTACTATTGTAGCTTGCTTAGACTTATACAATTATTCTTACTTTGCCACTTGTGGATATACAAGTAAAGCAGTACTCGCCACCTAGTGGTGCATCTTGGCTTTAATTACGATTGAATTTTTATACACTTTTTGAGCGATTTCCATTGAAATGTTTAAATTTGAAAATAGAATTTAATCCTTTTCGTTCATTTTTTTCATGAAGAGTAATGCATGTGATCGGATTTTAATGCAAATTAATAAAACAGTACTAATACATTCATTTTTCACTCACAAGTACATCGAATAAATGTCAATGTCTGATTTTACACTGCACCGACATTAAATCTACATCCTTTTTTCCCAACTCGTATTATTCATTTCAAGCATACAAACATCATCTTTTTTTTTTTTCGTCATCTTACCTTCGAAAGGACCTCGCTCGCCGCCGACCAGCCTCACGGCGCCCTCCTGCTTCTTCAATCTTCGATAGTCCTTGCCCGGCAGTAACTGCTGCTGCTGCTGCTGCAACGCGCTGTACTTGGCCTGCATGTAAGCGCGCCTGAGCTTGCGCTGCGACCATTGCTGCTGGCTCCTGGCATCGCCGCCGTTGCCGACGCCAACGCGAAAGCCGCTGCTCCTGATGCGTTGTTGTTGTTGCTGTTGTTGATGATGTTCTTGCAGCTGCTGCTGCTCCTCAATTTGGCAATTGACGAGCGGGACGACGACGACGAGGCACAGCAGCAGCAGCCGCAACGGCAACATCGTGCTATTGGCGGCGGCTGTGCGTGGTGGAAAAGTTGATAAAAATAAAAAAATAAATAAAAAATTACGTTATATACGTATCTGGATGTTATTTCGTGTTTATTACGTGGCCATAATACTCGAGAGAGGGTATATGATTACGACCTAGTTTTTAGATGTTCCGGAATTGTTAATTTTTTCTCTCTCTCTCTCTCGTTATACCGACCGGACCCCCCGCGACGAAATGACATTTTTGCAGCAAATATAGCGCATATATACAGCACGAAATGTATATATGTGTGTGTGTCAATACAACATATACCGCTCTCTCTCTCTCTCTCTGTCGAAACGAAGTTTTGAATTCTTTTTATATTACTATCGTATACGTATGCCCTGCAAAGTGAGCGCGAAGAGTCAGAGAGCCAATGTAAACCCATCGTGGAAAATTCGCGGGGCTCGCACACACACGAATAAGTTTCGCGCTTATTGGAAAAGTACAGTTACAAAGTCGCATTACGCGGAATACGAATTACGAACATTTGGGAAAAATTTTTTTTTTTGCGTTGCAGAGTAGCGCACAGAAAGCTCTCCGATATTACATATATACGAAGAGAGAGAGAGAGAGAGAGAGGATGGCAAGAAATTTTTCACCCTTCCTCTTTTTCTCTCTCTCTCTCTCTCTGCCCCCGCGGCTGCTGCTGCTGCTGCTACCGTATTTAATGCTGTACGTATGCTGCTTGGTGCTCCGAGTTATGCGGGGAATTTCGTTGATATATCATTTCTGTATACAAGCGAGGCGAGAGCTGAGGGCACATGCCTTTGTGGCGAACGATATCACTGAACGAGAGAGAGAGAGATAGATAGAGAGAGAAAAATCGTTCTTTTTTTCTTTTTATTTCTCTTTAAAGAGCTTCGCATATATATAGAAGCGTATAGAGGCTCGCTTGTTTCCGAAAATCTACGTATACACGCCGAGAGCTTCATTAAATGCGTACATCGTATTTATACGGCGACGTATTTATTACGGAACATAAATTTTTTTTTCCCTGCATATTTATACCGTATCGTGTACATTATTATACATGAGTCACACATACAGTGTATTACTCACCGATTTATATCACAAGTCTATCTCGCTCAGCTCGCGACGACGACGACGACGACGACGACGACGACGAGTGAGATGAATATATATAAAGACCGCACACAAGAGAGACAGAGATCTCTTCTCACCCTCTCGATTATTATATGTATTATAAAAAAAAATCACTCGAACGCGGACTCGTCGTACGAGCGACGATGCAGCCCCGACATGACTGAACTTTTTCCGCAACCGAGCAGCAGCGGCACACTTTAACAATTCGGCGATCGCTGCTTCGCTTGGTTATCTCGAGAACAACACTGCACTACACCTATGAGGTATAATAATAATACTATTATTATGGCACTAGTGATGCACGCACGTACATCGCAAATACACATACACAGATACACCCACGCACACTTATTATTATTATTATTTATACGTCGAGCGCCACATGGCTCTCCTGAGAGCAAGACGACGACCAGCGTCTCTCCTCCGACGATGATGCTAGGCCTCTTCTCTCTAGTCTAGTATAAGCTTATAGTTTCGCGTTCATAATATATATGCTGGCTTGGCTTGGCTGCACGCGGCGTGTCGAATGCAAGTGATTCGTCATAGACTCGCAAAAGGCGTTTTTATGCCGTACGCATATGAGCTCGCGTGGAGCGGCGGCAATCCTGTGTATATATACATATGTATGTAATGTATGTATTCGATGAGAAAAAAGGAGAGGAGGCACATACGGAGTGAAGAAGGAGGTACACGCACGCACGTATATATACATACGATGAGCGTAAGTGTGCTCATGTGCGAGTACTTTGGTTCTCTCCTTTTTTTTTTTCGTTCAAGATTTTACCATTGTTGCCTATATTGATATTTATCTCGGACGAGCGCGCAGGAGCTCGTGCTCGTGGATTATTTTTTCGCGCCGTCGTCTTTGTTGCCGCGCGCGCGGCTAAACGTTAATTTTTCATTTTTTTTTTTTTTTTCTTTACTTCTTCTTCTCGTTCTTTGTTTCTTTATAATGTATACGTCGATTCCTGTGCTGCGGTGATTCCGAAACGAGATGTAGCACATCTCGAACGCGATCGAGATTGGCCGCGCGCGGCGAAGGTTTAATTTTTTTTTTTTTTTTGCTGCTACTACTACTACTCGCGACTCGCGTGCATCGGTAATCGTAGAAACGTAGTGCTCGAAAAAGTTTTAATGAAATGTCAACGTTGAGTCGAGATCGCAGCGACATGCAAAAAAAAAGAGAGAGAAAAGAAAAATTAGAGCTTACGAGATCGATACTTGAAACTTTTTTTGGACTCGGGCTGTTTCAGTTTTGCATTGAAATACCAGGCCTAGCCTACGTACACGCACGAATTACGTTTCCAAGTGTACGCGTTATTTCTTCTGTCTGTGTCTCTGTATACATGTACTATGAGGAAATAATAAACGAACGATCGTTTACGCGAGAAAAGAAGATTAGTTATTTATGGAATTATTAATAGCAGCTTGCGCGTTGCATTATATACCCTATATGTGTGCACATGCGCTTGCAGCGAAACAATAATTCTATTGAACAGCTCGCTGGCAAATTGGCTTTGGCCGAAGAGCAGAAAAATAATAATAATAAAAAAAAAAAAATACCAAACAAATAAATAAAAAGTAGGAAGAAAAAAAAAGTAGCGGAGATGAATTAAATTTTTTATCTGCCGCGATATATACGAGCGCGAAACACCTCTGCCGCGCGGCTCTGCGCACCGGGGTCAGTCGTCGTCGTATATACACACGAGCACATACGTTACGGTTGTGAAAAATTGAAAATCTTGTAACTCGACTGCGCTGCCGCTACTGCTGCTGCTCTTTGCTGAAATCAATCGTGCGTCAACGTGATCCTTCGGGAAAGAGAGAGAGAGAGAGACATTCGATATTGAGCAATAAAAAAATTGAAAAATGACTGATTTTCGCAGTATAAAGACGATAAATCGTTGCAAAAAAAAATAGAGAGAGAGAGAGAGAGGGGGGTCGAGGAGGAAAAAAGAGCGGAGAAAAAATAACAAATTGATAAATCTCGGATGGTTATACGTGTGGCAATTTGCAGAGCGCGCAGAGCTCGACTTGTCACACAGCGAGAAAGTCTCTCTCGTATAAATACATATATGCGCGCGTGGAGAGATAGGAGCCGCTGCAGTGCGGTGAAACGACGTTCTAGTATCTATCAAGCCACTTGAGATACACACACACATACGAAACCGATATTTTCCAATTGCGCAACGCTCGCGGGTACACGATCTATATATTTATATTTATTCATATAGCATTTACGTACTATTACGCGAGCTTTTTTTTTTGACGCGAACGACGATATTAGGCAAAGTAAAGTCGCTCTTGTATATAGCGATATATATAATAAAGTTAATGCACTATATATATACGCGCGGTGGCTTTTTTTTTTCTTGCAACGTTGTTGTTGCTGCCGCTGTATACATATAAGAACGAGAAATTAGATTATGCGTGACTCTCGGGATGTGTATTATAGCTTTTAGTGATTGATTTTCGAGGACGCGCTTCGTTCGTTCGTCTTCTTGCTTCTTACTCTTTTCCTATATTTCCTATGTATATACTTGCCTCGCGTCTATATAATGCGCGTATATGTATACTCCGACCTATGCGTTATTGACGAAATATTTTTACACTTGAAAAGAAGAAGAAGAAGAAGAAAAAAAAATGAACTAGATAAACACGCGTATCGAGCGAGGAGCTTACGTACATATAAGTACTTGCGTACATATACATTATAAAAGACGTTTCGCTGCTGCTCTTTCGCCGCGTAATAATATAATATCGCGCATAGATTGACTAGCAAAATACACACACGAAAAAAAAGAGACAAAGAGAAGAAGCAGCAAAATCACGCAACATCCGTATATATACACACGCGTATAATGACGACAAAATAAATCGCGTCTCTTTGACTATACTCTTTCTTATCTTCCCGTTTCTTTTTTTTTTCTTTTTTATTCATTTTTTTTCCCTGCATTTAGGTCACCAAGTTTTTATGCCACACACAGACGGACACACAGACACGTGTGCATAAATATATATAAATACGCAGACTGCACAAACCAATGCAGCGCGCAGTGCAGTTACAAGTGCCTGCGCGAGTGTTTTGCCTATATATACCTGCTACTGCCGGCATTAGTATAATTGCCCGCGTGTGTATCGTTCCGTTTGATCTTTAAAGTGAAAATTGACATTATTAGATAACTATATATGTATGAGTCGAGGCGCGCGGGTACATATATATTTATACGCACGAGAGAAATGTAATCTCAAACTTTTGAGATTCGACCGAATTAGAAACAGCAACGCAGCATCGCGCAGAAAAAGGAAAACAATTATTAATCAACGTTATACGGGACGATTATTACGGTTGAATATATCGCGTATTGCATAATACCCACAGGCCGCATCGTCGTATATATTATATGTAGTACGGTCAGTCGACGTTACAGACCTCACTGAGTGCATAGACTCGGCGCAATTAAGCGTCGTATTATATTCAAGTATATTGTGATGCGGTTCGAGCCGATCTTATACGCGTGTATTCTGCGGACAGACGTCATATTGCGTCGCGCGTCCCATTATACGTCGTGTATAGCCGCAGTCGCGCTTATTACCCACTGCACTAGCCGCTGCTCTCTTAAGATCAGATAAATTGAAAACGATTCGTTATATCGTGTATACGGTATTATTATGAATACCTTATGCCGCTGCTGCGGCTCCTCATTCACGATTGCCTCGCGCAAACATTATGTCTATGTAGCCTTATGGTCGCGCAGCAGCAGCAGCAGCAGCTCTCAAGTGCAAGTACACGCATATATAATAAAACACTAATACACACCCACGTTGTACGTTATATTACATGTATGTATATCGGCGCGCGCGCGAGGCATGTATACATCGTGTCGAGGCGCTTTTAACAGTGATTACTCGTGCTTTATTGTTTCGTTAATTGTTTCGTTATTCTCAGCGTGTGGGTTTTTTTTTTTTTATTTTAAATGCGCTGCATACTGCGGGTTTCAATGCTACTGCTGGTGCTGCTGCTACCGTCGCGATGATATTTCACGATAACGGCCCTTTTTTTGCGCGTGCGTTTTTTTTTTTTTTTTTAATTTTACGAAGCTCGCGCGTGTACAAGGCTATTGTTGCTCACTTTTTGTTCTTTGGTATGCGTACAATTTAGAGACTCGAAAACGAGGCAGAAGTTTTTAGGCGCGTAATAACTGCTGATATGTACATTACGAATTGCGCTAATACGTAAAAAACCGCGAGGAAGTTACATATTATTATTATTATTATATTATTTTATGTAACGTTTAGCATGATTTCAGCTCTATTTCTTACATACAGCATAACAGACGGTTTATATACACACTATGCGTCAAGTCGTCTGACAGATCGGCCTGTGATCGGGATGATCTAATATATCGACGACTGCATTATTATACAAATGTGCGTACTAGAGATTACGTCTCCTCTGCCACATACGATCTGCCACAAACGCACATACATATATACACTTTATTAGTTATTAATGTATAGGTGGAATCGCGGCGAGCCAAACGTATTGTATCACATAGATACACACACACAGACACACATAAAGCAATGCACATATATCTATGGAGGCGCGTCGATTGATTATAAATATATAAGTGAAAGTCATCGTCGTATAGCCGTCGTCGTGGTCGTCGTCGTCACGCACGCGATGAGTTCGGATCATTCGCGCGGGAATTGTCTATGTCTTATATATATGCTCATAATACAATATAATGCACGTACGTATTGTACAAGTAGGCCAAGTACATGCGTAATGCGAACGACGATATTACAATATATGTGTCGTTTGATTATTTATAATATATCGACGACGCGCGCGGGGAATTCTTTCGGAGCTCGATCAGCTGGATGTGATATATTTTAAGTATCCGTGACTCCTTCTTCTTCTTCTTCCTTGTTCTTTTTTTTGGGGGGTTGGAGGTGTACTTTGATGACCTTTTGCAATGTATTTTACTTTTAAATTATAAAAATCTTTCTCAAGAATCAATGAGTTTATGTGAAAATATGGTGTACCACTACTAAAATTAATGAAATGGTGATGATATTAAAATAAAATTCATATAAGTACAGTATAATTTATTTGATCGATACGATAATTTTCGAGGACACACTTATTTCCTTTTTATAAAATTTAATACCTTTATGAAAACTTACACGCGAAATGTTTGAATAATGCAAAATAATAGGGTATTGAGAACTAATGCAAGTGCGCGTTCAGGTCCGTAGTAGTTCATATGTTACCGCTAGATGGCGCATGGAGGAATTCTCAAAATCCAAAAGAGAAAATGAAAAGTTATAGCATTAAGTAAGAGTGATTTTTACATATTTTTTAGTTCGCCAGACACTCCCAGTTGGAAAATATTCCAGTAGGATAATATCCTTTACATATTTTTCTGATTATATGAGGTATTTTTCTCAACATTGCAGAATTATTTTGGCAACACTATTCCAATATTTCTGCAACTGCAATTAATAGTAATAGGTTTCTAACGTGTTTCTCACTGATCAAGTTTTTACGCGGAAGAGCATGTATAATGGGTGCCGTATATATATGCACGTGGACTGAACGAACGTTTCAATTTTTACAAATAAAAATATACGAGCGAGTTTCGTCGATTGAAATTTATCGCGACTTTGCCATTGCTCCTACAAATAGGCGCTACATCCGCAACAATCAGACGCCACTACTGTAGTTGACGATAGTCTCGCAACAACGACAAAAACACCCGATTTTTTTCCGTTTATTTGCCGTTTTGAGGGCTGACAATACGGGCCTATACAACCGTTTCTTCTTTCGTTCGATTTTGCGATTTTGTGTAAGCAACGTTGTGCGTATGTAATGTTGATGGATAACCATCATTAATTATATCTGAATGTTGAACCGCATCATTCACGAGATCAGACATATAATGTGCAACACTCGTATGCTATAATTTTTGTTTTAGTTTGATCCTGAAATCACGTTTCACATCATGCACTCTTCTTATCAGTTGGTCACAATGAGCTAAGAAGCTCTATGATTGCCGATCTAGATGGCCAATGCTGAATTTGAAGTGTGCATCTTGATGGTCCGTCTGCCCACATTTAGCATAAAACACAATGTCATTTTGATTGTGACGTGGACCTGCATAAAATTGTATGATGCAAGTTGATTTAAATTCGAAGCATCAAATCTTCTATGTATACACACATTTTTTCCATGTCATGTCTATTACGGGCATCAACCAATACTGCATTGGAATAGAATTCGCCAATCAACTAATTATATTTACAGCTGTACCTAGGTCTCTTCACCTGATTTTTTTCTGATTTTTCATTATATGATCTATCAAAAGTGATTTTTTTTCATCAATACATATATTTTCTTCTTCTTTTTCTTCCGATTCGGGGTATTCATGTATCTCTGTACCACCTTGCCTTTTTCTTAATGATTCTTTAGTAATGGATACTTGAGAGCTATATGTTACTTCGTGTTTTTTTACCGCACGAATTGGCTTCCTCTCTACTACTACAAATAAATTCTTCTCTAAAAATAAATTTTAATTCTAATTCTACTGAATCAAGAATCACTGATATCAGAATATGGTTCAGAATAATTCATTACAACTAATTCGCCGTCTTGAATTTTATCATACAATAATACATATTCTGCTTCGTTCCTAATAATTATTAATAAAACTACTTGAAATATTGTTTGCACTGGACAAATTTTTTAAAATAGACGTTTCACGAATAAATATATTAACAAAAAGCAGGGGAAACTTCTAGCTTCATTGGGACAAGATACAAATTGCCTAAACTCGACGACAAACAATTTTCAAGCGCACGCTCGTTAATGAAAAGTAAATATTTCGCAATTTCACGTAAACACATCACATTATATAGATTGCGAGCTCTACGATACGACAAAGCATACACCCGATAGCAGCCAAAATCAAAACTTACCGAAGTCTCGTACCAGAGATTCGCAATAGCTTCTTTTACAAATAATATTAACGTATGAAGCATGATTATAATCAAAATTAATTCCACACAAAAGAAAAATTGTTTTTAGGTGCGGTATATTACGCACTTGCGTACACAAGCGTATTTTATTTTGTTATGTTGTCATGAGTACAAAAATAAATGACGTAGGTCTGCGAAACTTTTGAAAAACTGACTTCCATGCAACACCCATTGTTAACGTCATCATTTGTTGTTTAAATTGTAAACTACTCAAATAACAGCATATCGACCTAAAGAAAAAATGATTTATAAGACTGTTTTCCTCTATGCTGAAAAATCAACGTATTATCGAAATAAGAAACCAGCTATTTGGCGTTCATTGCAACACAAATTTCTATAAGTCATTCATTTAGATCTACTCGAGTCGAAACGAAGGTAAAGCTCGTGTGGCGTCTTTCGCACGAGCTGGCGCCACTCGCGAGGATTCGCGCGTCGCGCGCACGATTGCAGTTGCCGCCGCAAGGCGCGAAATCTGTTTTACCGATCTTCCTTCCTTGCGCCGATCTCGAAAAATCTCTGAGTTGCCTCTGGACGGTGAAAGGAATCAGGCATATCGACGCGGATCGGTGCGAAGATTTCTGCATTGTTATCTCTCGATGTCGAGGCCGCCGATCTGCGCGCGGTACGAATCATCTTGAAAGAATTAATAAACGAATCAACGCATGCACGATTTGAGAAATATACGCTTTTACGCACGTTATCCTTGAATAATATTTTAGACTTTATTTTTCATTGAAATAAATTGAAATAATGAAAAAAGGATACAGATATCCTGTTCTCACACGCACTGTAGCAAAAGGCACGTTATATACGCCGAGAGGATAGGAGGCGACCGCGGCAGCGGCAGCATTGCCAACAACAGCGCGCATAACCCGACGATACTCACACGAGAGGCAGCAGTGAACAGAGAGAGAGAGAGAGAGAGAGAGAGTCGCAGGCCGCGAGCAGCAGCAGCAGCGTTTCTGGATCTAGTAGTGTGCCGCACGCCGAGCTCGAAGTTAGCATCAGAGTAGTTGTGTATTAAATAGTTTACAATAGCGATTATACATACATCGCCGCACCGCACCGACACTACACCGAAGTAATATACAGTTTATATATTTAATCCGTATATACCAAATTCTCTATCTCTCTCTCTCGCTATTGTAAAACGATTTGCATGCATCATTTTTATCATATACGCACGCTTATATATTTACACCGCAATTAATACAGAGTCCACGGCCGATTCGTCGTTGCGTTTCTCCTCCTCTTCCTCCTTTTTTTTTGGTCTATCTACTATACGGGGCCAAAGCGCAAATATTAGGCACGATTAAAACGAGTTTGTTTATGCGTGCGAGGGGCGCGCATACACACGACGTATCGTACGCTTGTATATTATAAAATACGTATACATACATACACAATACATAGGAGCCGCGGTGAGTCGCGCCGCGGCGCACACGCATGCAACAACACACACCGATACATATACAAACTCTCACCGTCATACTCGTCTCTCTCTCTCTCTCTCTCTGTATACATGTATACGCACAAACGTCGCTGTGCTCCGAATTTTTGCGCTGCTTTTCTCGCTCTCTCGCTCTCTCGCTCCTTATATACGTGTGTATTATATGCACACACACACACAAGCCGTGGCATTAAAAGTTGTATTTTTTTTTTTTTTTTTGGTTGAGATACATCTTTTTATGCTGCACGCTCGCTCTCGATAAGTACGCAAAGTTTTCGCTCTATCTATCTCTCGCTCTCTCTTCTTGCATCTTTTATGAAAACGAAGTAGAAGAAGAAGAAGAAGAAGCAGACGAAGATGAAGAAAATAAACGAAGAGTAAAAAGTGATGGTCAGTGTGTTTTTTTTTGTTGTTGTTTCACTCTGTGCTTTCGATAGAGATGGAATATAGTGCCGATGCCGTCGTACATTACGTATCTCGGCACTCTTCGGGGTAAAATTCTACGTTTTTTGCATTATTTTTTTGTAATAATAAAGAAAAAATACACGCGTGTCTCGGTGGTATTACAATACGTTCTTGCATCCTGCTGTGTCTGTGTCTGTGCGTCGTCGCCGTCGTCTACAATATAGCGTGTGTGCCATACTACAACGTCGTCGTCGTCGTCGTCTCTCTTCGCTTCGTTGCAAAATCATCGTCGGCTTTTTCACGTCCTCGTCTGACGAGTGCCGTGTGTGTGTGTGTCTATATAGCAGTGCGATACAGATCCACAAGTGCAAGTTTTCAACTAACAACACGAGAAATGAGTAAACGTGCATCGAGTGGCATAGTGAGAAGAGAAGATACAGACACGGAGTATACATAAGATTCAACGTGTAAACAACGTTACATGCATTTGCGAAGAGCAGCAGCAGAGTAGCGAGAGAGAGAGAGTAAAAGAGTGTTTCGCCGCGAGTGCGCGTCGTCGTCTATGTATCCAATACGTTTACATAAATGTGCCTGTCTGTCCGTGTGTGTATAGGTATGTGCCGTGCACTTGTGTGTCTATGTGTGGAGAGATTAAAGCCGGGGATCAGCGACAGCAGCCGCCGCCGCGTGTACAGCAGCAGCAGCGGCATTAAAAGCAACATATTCGCACAGTGTGGATATATACCGCTCAGGAGATAATATTTCATTGGGCAATTGATTCGCGTTTCGCCTTCGTGTGCATTATGTGATTTGAAATCTATATCTACACTCGTTGCCGCTGCTGCTGCGGCACGACGTCGAAAGAGTGAGGCATCCCCCCAGTGCGGAGAGGAGACGTGATTTTCGAACGCGTTTCTCGCGCATTTCTGCATACGTATATCGTGCAGTACGCATAACTCTGCTGTACGTTGCTTGCTCCGCATGTGTGTGTGTGTGTATATGAGTGTGCATGTGCATGCACATCTCTCTCTCTCCGTCTCGCTTTTCATCGAGAGAGAGAGAGGCTCGCAGACGATCGCGGCGCGCGCTCGTGTCGGCCATTGCGAGAATGTGTGTGGCATATTACACACACACGCACATGTATAGCATTGCATTTCTCCGTCTCCGTCTATCTCTCCTTCTCTCGATTTTTGCGAAAGTATAGTACACAGCGAGCCGGTGTATCGCTGCTGCTGCCGCCGCTGCTGCATCGTTATCATCGTTTTTTTTGTTGTCTTTCGCTTCGATCCTAACTGGACGTGGACAAAAATCTCTCGGCTCCAAATTCGAGGCATCGTATCGAAGATGTATCTGCATCCTTCGTTTGTGCCTCTCTGCGTCTATTCGCGGTATGCACACACACGCACACACACACGCGCGCGAGCCGTTGGGGCGTACACACGTCCGTGTAATACAGGTGCGCGCGTGCGATATTATAATGCGAAGGACGCGAGTAAAAGTTATAATATATAGCGCGAGATCGACTCCGAAACACGCGAGTAAATAATATTAAGGACGACCAGCGTCGTCGCGTTGCGTTAGTTTTATACGATCGTCGTTAGTTATTTAATAAAAAAAAAATAAATAAATAAAACTGCTCCATCCAAGTGGATATTACACGTACGATAGAGCACGTAAATATATAGCAGCAGCGAGACTTGTATCAAACATACACACTTTAAAGAGCTAGAGAGACACACGGCTCCGAACGACGTTCGTATATTTGTTTACCAACAAGTGTGTATGTATGGCTCTCTCTCTCCGTTCGCTCTTGCTGCTATATACTATATACACGCCAGAGAGACAGACAGACAGATCCGAGTGTGTGTGTAATACATAAACATAGTAATATACGCATACGCACGCGTGTGTGCTCATATATCGCGTATACACTCATATTCATACGCGTATACATAGATGATCGACGAGAGGTGGCAATATTTACATTTACCGTGTGTGTGTGTGTGCGTGCAACTCGTAGCTGCAGTTTTGCCGCGCTGCACATGCGTCGATCGTTCGATCCTCACTCTCTCGCTATCTTCTCCGGTCTTTTTTTTTTGTCGCTTCGTATCATAACGCATTCGAGTAATAACACCTCTATGTACCGCGCGAGAGCGATGCGTAATTGTATTATTCTCGTTTTCTTCTCGACGCCCACTTTTGACGTTATATCGACGCAGCTTCTTTTCATTTAATTCTCTCGCGTTTAGGTTTCTCGATTATTATTGCAAGACGCGGGACTCTCTCGACACGCGCTTATGTTTAAACATTTCATTACGATTCGATAATGATACAATACAAATATGTACCGATGTACAAAGTCGCGCGTCGCGTTTCGATCGCGACGATAGCGTTATTTATATCGAAAAGAAATAACGTCCGTGTATATAGTATGTGTGTATGATAGTAAATATAGATATCAAGTGTGTCTTTTACTTCTTTTCTTTTTTCTCTCTTTTTTTTTATAAAACACTCATACTGCAGTTGTTGTCGTCGCCGCCGCCCCGAGGCTTGCAAAAGAAGAATTCAATTTATTTTTCCGATACATATAGGAGAGAGAGAGAAAAAAAAAAGAGATTCCCTGTGTATTACCACGCGTGTTTTATTGTTGTATCGATACATAATACCTTTACGTGACGCGTCAAAAAGAAGAGGAGGCGAGAGGAGGAGAGAGGAGAAAACACGTGGTTTCGTTTGTTGTCGTTATTATTATTATCGTTGTTATACACACGCGTCAAAAATCAGATAAAAACTGCGCGGATTATTATTACGTATTGTGTGTGCTTTTCGTTACATCGAACACTTGATTCTCGATTGATTTCCGTTTTGTTTGTTTGTTTTGTTTGTCTGTTTTTTTTTTCACACTATAGGTGATAGATCACACGCTGCTACTGCTGCTGCTGGTCCGGCTGCTTATCTCTCGCTCTATCTGTACTCGCACTTTTTCTTTCAACGCGTTGGTATAGCACTTTTGACGGCAAACTTTTTTTTCTCTCTCGCTCGTGTGCGGCCATCGGGGGGATCACGACGACGTGAGAGAGAGAAAACTTGAGAGGGCAATCGACCTCACTCCCACTTTTCTTCTCTCAAAAGTCTCGCGCAAACTTTTTAAGATCACGTGTTATATGGGGCGCAGCTATATAGTATATATACCCGGAGTAATCCAAACTTGATTGATTCCCAATGGCTGTGTGTGTATGCTCGTGTATAAGTGGCAGCAGCTGGGGCAACTGTAAAAAACATTTTCGGGCTAACTCGGAATTTATCCGCCGTAAGTCGTAAAAAAAAAAAAAAATAAAGAAGAAGAAGAAGGAGAAAAGTAGTCTGCGCGGAATACAAAATTGATACCGCGCGGAAAAGAATCACGTGTCGTCTCCGATAAACGCGTGCAGCTTTCTCGAGGTATATATCCGTAAAGCTCTCAAAAATCTCGGCGGCCTCCCCCTCCCATCCCTATACCGAAAGATATCTCGCTGGCCCGCGAGTATATACGTATGTATACACCGACTTTTAAGTGAAAAGAGAGAGAGAGAGAGAAAAGATAAATAAATATATATAAAGTAACGTTTGCTCCGATATAATCCCTTTCGTATAAACGTTTCGTCGGCTCAAAGGATACACAAACACGCATACCATGCCCCGTGCCTGTATTACCGCGTTTAAAGTGCGTGTGCAAGTGTATACCTCTATATACGGGCATGCGCGTACTCGAAAGAGAGGAGGCCTGTCTCTCTCTCTCTCTCTCTCTCTCACTCACTCTCTTTCTCGATGACGCGCGTCGAGTATTTATACTAACTTCCTCGTGCTGCTGCTGCTGCTGCTGCTGCGTCGAGGGCACACACGCGTTTCCTTTTTATTATACAGGTATATATACCTATGATGCTATACACCTCCACCTCACGAACGGGCGGGGGGGGGGGGGGGNGGGGGGGGGGGGGGGGGGGGGGGGGGGGGGGCTATTATACGTAACGCACACACGACGCATGTGCGCATCATCGTCGTCGTCGTCGTCATACGCATCGTTTTACGTATATATATTTATTCTTTTCGCGCTAACCCGTGTATACGTATATACGCAATGCGAATAAATACCGTTATTATATCCGAGAGAGGCCGAAAACATTTTTTTGCGGCTACTTTACGGCTCGGCTGCTTACGCACGCGAATATATGTATATTAAGCTTCGCATGAAATTAACGAAAAAAAAAAACGAGGTTCCGATTCGCGGTTCTTCTTCTTCTTCTGTGGACGACGATGATGATTTTTTTTTTATATTTTTCCTTTTTTTTCGCGCGCGCGCGCTACACTGTAATGTAATAATAAATTTTTTTCGCTGCCTCTCTCAAAACGACACTGCTCTACTGCTGGTGCAACCGGTTTTCTAGAAAAATAAAATAAAGAATTTAGAATCTTGTTTTTTTTTTTTTCATAACAATCGAGTGTTATTCTATTTCGAGAGAGGGGTTTTGAAAAAAAAAACAATGAGAATACGCCTAATAATTGACGACGTTGACGCGAGGCGAGGCTTTGAAAGAGGGATGCAACAAAATAACAATAATAAACAACGAAAAAGTGGTCGACACCTCGACCTTGCTATATAAAAGCGAGTTTTAGAAAAAAGGAAAAAGTCATTGAGAGACAGAGAGAGAGAGAGAGGAGAGAGAGAAAAACAAATGATACGAGACATTAGTCGCGCGAAGCTCAAGTAGTAGTAGGGCGATTATAGGTATACACCTATATACTACGTAGATAGTGGTATATCCCTCCCCCCCCCCCTTCCCCGCGACGAAGGCGTACAGTAACGAGTTTCCGGGAAGTTGGTCGGTCCTTCGCAAGCACAAGCTTTTGCACTATCGCCATTGTGTAGTATAGGTGGACTTGCGACGCTTAAAGGGGATTTACACGCGGGCGGCGGAGAGCGAGGGGCATTGTTTGCACTACAGCACAGAGACACAGAACTGTTGCTGCTGCTGCTGCTATATATGCTATATAAGTATAATACATACCGCTGAGACACGCGCGGCGAAATTCACGACCTTCGATTAATTATTTTAATGCGTACTCTGAACTTTAACCGCTGCTGCCGCTGCTGCTGACGTCATTCGCGAGAGAGAGAGAATAAAGCTTGAGCGTTCGGGAGCGCGAGCGAGTAAATAAATAACGCACGACTTCTCTAAAAAGCGCACGAGAGCTAGAAATCGTCCTTTTGATTGTGTGTGTGTGTGTAGGTATGTGGAATAGCAACGAGCTGCGATGCTGCCACACCGTCGCCGCTGCGATACACATTTCTCTTCGTTAATTTCACTTCGGTGTCGTCCTCCTCGATACTACACACACATACATACATAAAAACGAGGAAGAGAGATAGAGAGAGAGAGAGAGACACGAAGAAGAAAATCGCAGACGAGCGTTTTCTACCGCTGCTGCTGCTGCTGCTGCTCTCTTTCTCTCTATCGCTGCGAAGATGGTGTGTGTTTTTGAACGCGCCGAAGGAAAAAGACGGTTTGCCGAGGCGCCAGCGAACCGCCTGACCTCGTCATCGCGCGCGGACTTTCTTTCCTTCTCTCTCTCTCTTTCTCTTGTGCTCAATACATATAGCAGTAGCAGCAGCAGCAGCCAAGCCAAGAGTCGCGCACCAAGATCACGTAATCGTCGGAGTATTTTTTTTTTTTGCTCTCTTCTGTCTCTCTCTCGTTTTCTATCCTCGTCCTCCTGATGGTGGTGGTGGTGCTGCTGCGTTTGTAGTGCATCGTCGAGTCTCTATTCAATGCGCCGCGCCGCTCCTCCTTCCTCCACTATTCTTCGTCTCTGTGCCCCGACGACGACGACGTTACGTAGTATCCCGAAAAAGAAAAGAAGAAGAGGAGGAAAAAATTTTTAACGAGACTTTTCATTCGAACGCTCCTCAACCTCTATCTTTCTCTCTCTCTCTCTTCGCTGAATTTCTACGTCGAAGACAATTTTTTTTTTTCTTCTTTTACTTTTTATACTTTTCGTCTGAAAAAAGTAAATTTCGTCCGAAAAACTTCACGGTAAAGCTCGCGCGATATAAACAATGAAAGAAAAGATCGTTGGAAATTCGCGCGCGCGCCAAAAATAACGCTAATAAAAAAAAAAAAAAGCTGCGGGTCACGCGCTCGTCCAGTAGTTAACTCTCGTCGAGGTGGTTCGTCGAATCGTCGTCGTCGTCGTTGACCGCATAATCATCGTATACATCAAATTAATATACCAAAAATAATATCGCTATACCAGAGCTTTTATCTTATGCCGCAAGCTTACGATATATACAAACACGTGCGAGCTTGCGTATGCATTATTGCGTAGGCGAAACGTGCCCAATAATCAAGCTCTCGTACATATATTATACAATTTATAATTCGACCGATATTTTATGCATATTATTATGTATGCCGCGCGTACGCTGTGTGTTTAGTCTCGTATACGAAATTAGCCGAGCTTGCGCGCGCGTACGCGAAATTTTCACGGAATCGCGATCGTTATGTTATAAAACGTAACGAGCTTGCAGCGCGACGCAACTCGACGCCGCTACTGTTGCATACACACACAGACACAGACGAGGCGCTCTATATAACACGGTCGAGCTCGAGGCTTCGATAATTCTATTTTTGATATCATCGATGGTGAGCGTGCGAGCGATCGATCGATCTCGAGAGAGACAGAGAGGAAGAAAGAGTGTATTCATTGTGTGTGTGTGTGCAGCTTTGCAGTTCGTTGACCCCAGTTGCTGCTGCTGCGTTTATTGCTCAACCCTTGGCTCTCTCGCCAATGTATAATAGGCCGTTTTGTTCTCGATGAGAGAAAAAAAAAGATGGAAAAAAAAATAAATAAATAAATAAATAGAAACCGAGCGCATAATGTACGGATGATTTACGCGAGGTTATCCGGCGCATAAACTTTGTCGCCGTCTAAATGTATATAGTCGACGTCTTGTCGCGCGTCACTACTAGCTATACTAGCTATATAATACCAACGCGAGACAATTATTATTCGCCGACGACGACGCTGTGTGCGACTCGCGGCCGCGCGCGACGTCTGAGCTCTGACAACGTACATATATATAGCGTGTATAATATAATATAACTCGTGTCGTCCTCGTCGTCGTTCGGCGGCGAGCGCAAAGTTTTGAGCTTTGCGCGCGAGACAACTCGCGCAACTGCCTCGTTAGCAAGCGCAAGCTCGTGTGCAGCTGAGCTTGCATCCATCCATATACTATGACGCCGCGCGTTTAATACATGTACATATCGTTATGATTTTCGGATCGATGTCACTGACGATCGAAGATTCTTGATCGGCCGTACGTATAGGCGATCGCATCTAATACAATGCAACGCTGCGCGCGTTATAAAATTAATAACCGGGTAACGGCCCCGATCGATCGACGCTATACGGCGGCAGTGGCGTAGCGGTGTTGGTGACTCGTTTAGTCTATATAAAAGTCGTTAAAAGGAAGAGAGGTAGAGTGAGAAAAAAATGGCACTATATATCTATATCAGCAGCGAAGAATGTAACAAATACTCGTTAAAAAAGTTTCATCGCGCTCGCGCGCATCCACCCCCGCGTTCTCGGTGATGATGACGATGGCTATCGTCGACGACGACGACGACGACGAAGTAGCCGCTAGAGCGTGAATTTCGCGCGCGCACACACATACATATATACACGTAGAGCAACGGCAATTAATTCGAGTGCGCGTGCAGCAGAAGCAGCAGCAGCAGCAGCAGCAGCAGTCGAGGCACACGTCCAATTACTATTATATGCACTTTTGTGTAATATGCGTGCGCGCGAGCGCGAGAATGGAAATTTAATTAAATAATTCCAGTTGAAAAATCGTACGAAAAAATAGAAGAACGGAGAAGAGAGAGAGAGAGAGAATAAAATTAAAGTTAATGGGAGAGAGAGAGAGAGAACATAGTAATTGTGTTATCGAAATCGACCGGCTTAGAAAATTCTTATCGAGAGAGCGAGAGAGCTGCAACTACTTCGACGTAACTCGATACGATTTTTCTCTCGCTCTTCTTGAATCTCTCTCGTTTCTGAAAAATTATTTCTCGAAACGAAGAGGAAGAGGAAAAAATTGCGTTCGTTAAAAAAAAAATAATGATAATTTCGCGATCGTCGTTTAGAGGACCGAGAGCGATCTCTACGCGTGCGTGATTTGGAAATAGCATTAAAAAAAGAGCAAAAAATTCATCGCCAGAAATGCCGAAATTTATCGGCGAATAATCGTCGACAGGTTTGGTACATTTATATACATAATATATTTATACATCGTCGTTGTCAAAAAGTGAAAGAGTCGACACTGACGTCGCGGAATTGTATATAATATATATTATACGCAAACGAGTTTCTTTCCTCCTCTGTCTGCTCGCTGCTCTCTGTGTCCCGAGAGTTCGGGTGTGCTTCGTCTTCTTTTGTCTGGCGCGTTGTCCGAGAGCAGCAGCGGAGAGAATCCTCTCCGCCGGGACGAGAAACTACTGGCTATATACATTCGTTTGTGCCGCAAAGCGCGCGGGGGAAAAAAAAGCGATTTAATCGCGGAAACCAGACGGAATTGTATAACTTTTTTATGCAGCCAAGTTCGTTTATTTATTTACTCTTTTTTTCCTTGCTTTTCTCGAGCGCGAGAACTGCAGTAGCGCAGCAGCAGCTCTATAACTACGCTGTGCAGCGCGCGGCACAAGATTTCCTTATTGACTCTGCCGCTTTCCAAAATGATCTGCAAATATATTCTTGCTTTCTCTATCTATCCTGCTTCAGATACTAAAATGTGTTTTCTTCTTCTTCCTTTTTTTCCAGAATGTGCCTGTGATAAAGAAAGAAAAAAAACGAGAAAAGGAAGGAATCTACACACGCGCACGCACAAAGTAACGATAAATACTTCGAGCCAAATACACGAACCGCCTTATGACGACTTCACAAAAGCTTAGCTAGATGGGATTTGTGGCTCTGTCAGGGCCCGCGTCCACACAGAAGAAGAAACAGTCAAGGACGACGACGACAGTAACTGGCAGTACTAACAACGTCATCTCTTCGACAACGACTATCATCGAGGATAATAATAATAATAATAAGGACACAGCAGCAACTCGGTTGTCGCCGTCGACGTCGAGGACGCGGAGGAGAAACAGCAGCAGCAGCAGCAGCAGTCGTCGCGTCAGTGTCGGTTTTGCAGGTACATCTCGCATCTTGGCGTCGACACCGAAGAGCCGCACGTAAGCGCAAGGCTCAATTCGGTGGTCGTCAGCCCACCGAAACGTTGGCAAGCTGGAATTGATGGAGTTGGAGAACATCGTCGCCAATACTGTTTATCTCAAAGCGAGAGAAGGTAATTTAATACATCGTTAATTATACATAATTAAATTCGTATCGAGCTTTCGAAAGCTCCGAAGAAGTAACAAAAATAAAAAAGCTCGCGATAAAATTTTACGGTTGTATCGTGCGCGCGCGCCCTTAACCGCGAGCTTTTTCTTTTTAGCAGCAGCTAGAGAGAGCTCGCACGCGCTGCTCGTAATAACGCAGTGGTATACGTACGTACGTACGCGCGCCTCGGCTCGTTATAATAATCGCATCGCGCGCGCGTGTCCTCGCGTTAACCTCGATGGCCGCGGCGGCGGCGGCAGCAAACACACCGCGACCCTCCTCCCCCTCGTACATACGTATACGTATACGACTGTTATGTACGTATGTGTATTAGACTGTCCGTTATTTCCCGAATTGCTCCAATCCTCGCTCTCGCCCCTTAAAAGTTCATCATTTGGCTCACAATGAAAGAAAATCACTGTCCGATCGCGATTAATTAACTCTAGATAGTGCCACACGCGTCAGCTTTTTTCCCATTTAAATAACATGGGAAAATTTAAAAAAAATGTAAATTGAAGTTTTAAACCACTTAAAATCGCTAAACCTTGGGTTTAGCGACGGTTTTCACTTCCTGGTACACCCATAATGAGTAACCAATACTTACGGGAACCCTCCGAAAAGAATTTTGGATTTTGCACACACGATATACTCAAAAAATGAAGAAAAACAGCATGTTGGCGTGGTTTTTCGATATTTTACAGCAAAACTAAGCATGAACGATCATTTTAAATATATTCACGTCAAAGTTGAGATCAAGACCTTTAATTTGAGGGTAATAAAACCTATTTACGTTCATTAGAACCAAAGTTACAGGCGTTTGAAGTTTCATTGAAAAATCAGGTATCGATTCTCGTCCGGCCGCCCAAACGCGCGACTCGCGGCTCGCTGTAATCGCAACTCGTACAAATGACCATGTAATTAAACTAGAAAAATAATTAAAAATATGATTTTTATGCGTTTTTTTCTCAGCTTTCACGTGGTGTAGTCGGATTTTTCGATAATTTACTCGTTCACTAGGAAAAATAGGAAATAAATGTTCAAGTCCATTTTTTCGTACGAAAATGAAAATTATCGAAAAATCCGACTACACCACGTGAAAGCTGAGAAAAAAACGCATAAAAATCATATTTTTAATTATTTTTCTAGTTTAATTACATGGTCATTTGTACGAGTTGCGATTACAGCGAGCCGCGAGTCGCGCGTTTGGGCGGCCGGACGAGAATCGATACCTGATTTTTCAATGAAACTTCAAACGCCTGTAACTTTGGTTCTAATGAACGTAAATAGGTTTTATTACCCTCAAATTAAAGGTCTTGATCTCAACTTTGACGTGAATATATTTAAAATGATCGTTCATGCTTAGTTTTGCTGTAAAATATCGAAAAACCACGCCAACATGCTGTTTTTCTTCATTTTTTGAGTATATCGTGTGTGCAAAATCCAAAATTCTTTTTGGAGGGTTCCCGTAAGTATTGGTTACTCATTATGGGTGTACCAGGAAGTGAAAACCGTCGCTAAACCCAAGGTTTAGCGATTTTAAGTGGTTTAAAACTTCAATTTACATTTTTTTTAAATTTTCCCATGTTATTTAAATGGGAAAAAAGCTGACGCGTGTGGCACTATCTAGAGTTAATTAATCGCGATCGGACAGTGATTTTCTTTCATTGTGAGCCAAATGATGAACTTTTAAGGGGTGAGAGCGAGGATTGGAGCGATTCGGGAAATAACGGACAGTCTAATGTGTATGTGTGTGAGCTTTCCTTGAGTCTCGTCCCCGTTTTATGCACCGCACCACCGGTGGCCTATAGCGCGGCTGGGCAGGAAGGGGGGTAGGGTTGTGTGTAGGCGAAAGCGAAGAGAAAAAAAAATCAAAAAGCTCCTCGGTGTATTATCGCGATCATCATCGTGTACTTGCGCGGGGACCTTGATCTTTTTCTGGCGCCTCGTTGTTATAATACACAACGTTCGTATATGCGTGTATGTAAAATCACAAAATTACAGGGTGCAGTGCAAGGTAGAGAGAGAGAAAGCTCCCGCAAGTGTATGTGTATAATAAAATTAATTTAGTAAAAAGCTCCACGGTCGTCACGCGATCAGTTTATAACACGCTCGCCGCGCGCTATATAACTGCACTATAACACACTATAATACACGAGCACGCATAGTCCAGCGCGTGGCACACTCGGCGTCGAGTGGTCTCGAAATCGCCATGTATATATATACAAACACACGATGGTGCAAAGAGGACTTGCGCTATTGATTTCTCGAATTCTATAAATGTATATGGTACGTATCAGTAGTAGTAGTAGTAGTACGTTGTTATCGTTGCAACGTGTGCGGCAAAGGGGCGGCTTAATAGTCGCAGCAGCAGCTCGACGTCGACGACGACGTTATAAAGGAGCTGCTACTCTCGCTTAATACGTCTTTGGTCAAACTATGTAGAGCATCTTTGCATGTAGTTTATATATATTGTACATGTACGATATATAGTAGCCGAGTCTTGAAGAGAGAGATAAGTCAATTGACGAAGCCATTACGGGCACTTGGAAATTTTAGCGATGCTGCGCCGCCGCTGTTGTTGCACGACGACGTGCGCGCTTCTGTGTTCTATATACCGTTGAATAGTTTCCTCCGGCTTATAGGTTGTAGCTCCATTCGACCGTGCGTATATACATGTATATATTTCGGTTTGTTAAAGGGCAGGGCTGCGTCAAAGTGGATGCGTGAAGGGAACAATGTCGAGAGGGCCGGTGAATTAGAGTACCCTTACGCGCGCGCGGCTCTATACATCGGATCAAATAACTTCGATCCCTTCGAAAGCTCGTGGCTCGATTTTGACAATCGGAGAGCGAGCGATAAATAGTTTTGTTTTCGTTCGAGTGAAAATTCTTCTTGTTTCGCACATGTCTATCCTCGCGAATCGCGGTAAATGAAGTATGTGTGATTGTTAGCGTGAAATATTATTCCGTTCAATCGCGTTTGATCGTTGATCGAGGTAGCGTGAGTCGAAGACGCGTCAATACTTTGTTTACATTTTCGTTCGCGCCGATTTATTCTCTGTCGTTTTGGTCAAGTGAGATAGCGACGCGCTCGATGCCAATAATCAATATAGTGTTGATCAATAAACCATACATCTCGTGACAAGTATAAAAATTATTCAAATTTAAACGGACCGTAAGCGTGTATCAACGCGAATGTAAGGAGTTCGAAATGAATCTCGATTCCGGTACAAGTCCCAATACAAGTTCCAATACAAGTTCCAATGCAAGTTCCGATACGAGCCAGGACGAATCAACGAGCAATTATGTCAAACAGCTCTTTGCCGAACAGGAGGCAGAAGACAAAGTCAAATTGGAAAAATTCAAGATCATGCGAGCGGAATTGAACTGGGAGAACGAGGAGGAGCGGCACGAGTTTCTGGATAAGTTCACTACCCTCACCGAGCCTCGTGGAAGCTGGCGTCGTCACCTGCCGGATCTCCGCGATTCGTTTCAGCCCGAACAAGTCGAATGGCTCATCATGGAGACCCTGAAAGAGAGAGTGAAGAGGAGGTGCTGCGAGTACACGGATCGCTCGGCTTCGCTCATCGAGGTCATAGCAAAGAGCGGCTACAAGATAGAGCCCGACTTGGACGAGGACGGCAAACCAGTGTCGCGTCGCGCCACGCCGCTGCACTACGCCGTGGCGCACGGCTGCTCGTTCATGTGCCAAGACCTGTTCGAGGTGTACGGCTGCGACGTCAATTACGTCGACGAGACGGGCCTCACGCATTTGCACGCGGCCATCAGCCTTCACTTCATCAACTACGTGGAGGACTTTGTCGAGCGTGGACACGCGACCTGGCTGCCGGAATTGGAATCGGACACGGTCGAGCCGCCGCTGCACTACGCCCTGAACTCTGAGGCAGGATCTATGTGGTTCGCCGAGCTGCTCATCGCCGGAGGCGCCGATCCCAATCTGGCCAACAGGGCAGGATCGACTCCTCTCCACGTCATTTGCCAGGGTCGCTACGAAGACTGGGCGCGGAGTTTCTTCGGGGTGTGCGACGAAGTCGGGCGGCTGGTGGAGGTCGACGCCCGGGACAAGCAGGGTCGTACGCCGCTTCAGTGGGCCGTGGCGTCACTCATGCCGGACACGGTCGATCTGCTCCTGGACCGTGGCGCCGACCTCGCCAACTTCGTTTTTCCCGACGAGACCTACTTCGCCCGGGATCTCCAGCGGATCAAGAGGCTGGAAGGATTCGAGGTGGGACTGGCCGCGGACACGTTGGACATCGTCGAGCGCTTGGAGACGAGAGGATACAGATTGGACCAAGACGGGGCTCGAACGATCATGAAGGTGTTCGCCGAGCTCGGAATGTTCAAGAAACCGGCCGACCCGCGAAAGTACTCGCTCGACGATCCGTACTTCGTGGGCAGGTCGAAGAAGCTGATGGTGAGTCCCCGGGTCTCGCTCCACAAATTCTGCCGGATGCCACCCAAAGAGGCGATGAAACTAGCCACTTTCGAGGACTGCGCGCGACTCGCGTGCTCGAGCAAATTCTGGCGGCTGCGCGAGGAGTATCGTCAGCTCTGCGGCAGGCGCCTGTGCGAGACGGTCGCGAGGCGATTCTTTCGCGGATGGGCGCTGCCGCATCTCGCCACGCTGACGCGACAACAACACGGGTTGTCGATCTACGACTGCGAGAAGATCGTCGATGGGCTGGAGAACGTGGATCTGTGGTGCGTCTGCATGGCGGCCACGGGACAAGTTACGGACGACGAGGAGATGAAGAGATATCTGGAGGATAAGGAAGCTGCGGAGCCGTACGACCACGACCACGAGGAGTGCAAAAGACGAGTGCTTAGACGAGTGCAAAAGTACGGTGAACCCGTATCGAATACAAATAGAGATCGAGGTTGTGCCAAAAAAATAAACTAGAATTTATTAAGTTTTGAATTTATTTCATTGTAGTGGCTCTTTTTT